GATCTACCTCCACGTCGAAACATTCGGCTGGTAACCTTGTTCATGTTCATATTCACGATTGACGAAGTCCGCAAATATATATCCTGTAGATATTGTCTTCAATTTAAACCCATGCTGGTAATACGGCCGTCCCTGTACTCGTAACTTCGTGAGGTACCCATATCAGAAGCTATGACCACTCCCCATGACGTAATCACCTCACCACCACCCTCCAAACCCAAGGCAACTCACCTCACCTTAGCTCTATCATCCATCAAACACACCACATTACACAACACACAATCCAACACCTCATCGATCGAGTCCAACTCAGAACCAATCCCAAAATGGTCTTCCGCTTCGTACGTATTCCTTCCCTGACACCCACTCAGGAGCCATAACCACAACTAACAACCCCAAAGCCCAAATCCCTCGATCCCATAACCCTCTTCCACAACCCCGCCCTCGCCTCCTCCAAACGCGTCCACAATATCCTCAGACAAGCCTCGGCCACCGCCTCCGAAACCGCAACGGAGGACCAAGCAAGCGACTACATCGAGCATGCGAAGCGGCAGCGGGGCGAGTTCCAGCTGGAGGTGACGACCGCGCCGCCGACGCCGGACCAGCTGCGGAATATCCTCGACTATGTGGGCGGGGGCGTGAAGCCGTCGGATCTGGTGCAGGGTGCGAAAGACGCGAAGGATGCATTGGAGCTGTTCAAGAAGGATGAGGGGAAGTTTGTGAGGCCGGTGGTATGTTCTTTTCCCCTTCCCTTTTTCGTTTTTATTCTTCGAGAGCGTGGTGGGATGGCTAACAATGGACTGCGCTACGTAGACTGTTGACTGGACGCATGGAAAGGCGGTTGTTGGGGATAATGAATCGGAGATCCTCAAGATGGTGCATCAGCTGGACGTGGATTAAGCTTGGGCGGCATTATCTGAAAGTCTGACAAGAAAAAGATGAAAAAATAGACTATTGTTTTCAACCGGACTCCTAAGCATACGCATACCGACTTTCTATGTATCATACACGCAATAATCAATACACGCACAACTCCAGCCCCATGTATCCCAGGCCCATTTGGTGACCGATGAGTATGCATACAGAAAACCATTTAAGAGACGCCGCAAAATCAGTTTGATCATGGTCATTTCGAGATCCAGCTCGATGCCAGGATACGGTTCGTACGCGAAGGAAAAGGACATTTGCAGGGGCTTCATCTCGTCTAGAACATGGTTCCGAACGACCCGTCGGTAGCGATCGGCTTCCGCGGCGAGCTTCGGCCAGTCGAATCCACGGCGGGTTTGCGATGACTGTCATGGTTGTTAGCAATATGAACGTCTTGTCCCAGCTGAATAGGGTGGAACATACCGGAATGTAAACCCAACAAACAACCCCTTGCTCATCTTCTCTTCTCTTTCGGCCATCTCCTCGAGTGCACGCTGTTTCTCGTGGACCTCCTTGTATTTGGCCATGTCTGCTTCGTTGCTGAAATCGTCAAAGTAGCCGGCGTCTGTCTCTGAATCCAGCTCTGGTACGAATGGCGCCTTCTGCTCGCGCAGGCGACTAAAGTCAACCTCGCTGAAATAGTCATGCGCGTGGATTTCCTGGATGCTCTTGGCTCTGTTCTCCTTGGCCGCCACGAGCTTGGTGATGAGACCCCAGGTGCGTCGCGAAAGGAAATAGTTGGGATCCTCGTATACAGGCTTCCGGAGTACCTTTTGCCAATTCTTCAGGTTCTGCCATGTTTCGTCGACCGTGGCACCCGCAAACGGCGGGTATCCAGCCAAGGCTTCGAAGAGCATGCACCCCAAGCTCCAGTAGTCAACCGTAAAGTCGTATTCCTCACCCTTCAATACCTCGGGCGCCATGTAGTCAGGCGAACCAACAATCGATTTGGCATAGTTGACTTGACGCTCTCGAAGCGAACGGTATCCCTGACGACGCTCGGCTGCAGTTCGCTGCTCCATCGGGCGACCAAAGGGAACCGGGGTATTGCCGACCTCCTCCAGCTTCACACGCATGGACTCAATCTTTCCTGGATTCAGCATCCCCGCCGCCAAGCCAAAGTCCGTCAGCTTCACATGGCCCGTTGAATCAATCAAGAAGTTCTCCGGCTTAAGGTCGCGGTGAATGTACCCCAGCGCATGGAGTGCGTCGATGCAGCTGAACATCTCCGCGATGTAGAATCGGGCATGGCGATTGTGCAAGACGCCAGTATTGTTGAGCAGGGTACGGAAGTCACCGCCTGGCACATACTCCATTGCGAGGTAGATCTGCTCATCATCCTGGAAAGCGTAGAGCAATTTGACGAGCCATTCACTCTTGGCCGCTGTTAAGATGTCTCGCTCGGTCAGAATGTGACGGATTTCATCCAGCTTAAACAGAAGCTTTTTGCTCATGACTTTCAACGCGCACACCTCTCGAGTATCCTTCTTTTGTGCCAGATAGACCTGACCATAGCCACCCTGGCCGACTTGGGTCAGAATCTGAAAGTCGTGCTGACGCAGGCGGGTGCGACGCTTGCGAAGATGGGCACGCTCGCGACCCAGATACTTGAGCAGGGCTGGCTCGTAATCATCAATCGGGGTCGCAGGAGGATCGGGGTAGGCGGCCCGAAATTGGGAATAGCGGGTCTGGCGGTTGTGAACATAACTAAGCAGGTCAAAGTAATGGTCGAGAAAGTCTAGGCAAAAGAAACAAGAGCGTCAGTATTTGAGGCCAATCGGGCTTCTACTATGCGCAAATCGGCACACTGGAAATACACGTACATAGTTGAGTCACGTTGACCAAACGCTTAACTCTGGGGCTCTGCAGCTTCTCCATCTCTTCTGGCGTCAAGCCACGCATCTGAACCTGGCGTCTCTGGAGAGTGTCCAGATCTCTCTGCTGATATGGCTCATGACGAGAAATTGCGGCGGCGGTGGGATTGGGACCCAGATCCTTGGCTATTTTGAGAGGACTCGGGGGTGTGTTTTCTTTATTCGATTTGCGTGTGGGGCTTCCTGGTGACTGGCGGATGACACTCTCGCTAAAGTCGTCCAGCGATGCCTTCGGGGGAGCAAACATGGGATGGTTGTAATGGTTGAAGGTATTCTTGGTGGGAGAGGAGGGAGCCAGCTTCATCGCTTTTTCAAAGACATTAGGTAGGTCAATGGCGCCGGGAGGCATTCTGTTCTTGCTGGGGCTGCCCTGCGGGGTTTGGGCAGGACTGGTGAAGCCATTGTCTGCGGGTGTCGAGGGGCGATCGAAAGGTTCATTGCCCGATCGGGTATGCAATAGAGGAGGGGGGTTTGGAAGACGCAGACCGTGACGCTCTGGCGATTCACGAGGGGTATCGAGGGTCATCATGGCCGCAAGTGTCGCCAAGCGAGTATGAAGGCCGGAGTAAAAAAGGAAAGAGAGACAGAAGGGAGAAAAAGTGAACCAGCGTCAGAGAGGAATGTGCCCAATTGATCTCTGGACGTGGCTGAGGCGATAAGGACGAGGCGAGACTACTCCGCCAACGGGGTAGACTAAAATCCAGTATGGCAGCTATCAGTCTTGGTTGGTGGGGAAGAAGGAAGCTAAGGTAGTCGGGCAGTAGTCTGAGATGGAATCCAGCCAGGAGTCAAAGGAGCAGAGGAGAGAGAAGCTGCAAATGTTTTTGGAAGTATGGCGTAAAGGAAGAAGCAAAGTGATGATAGACAGGAACAGGAAGGAAGAGACGTCAAAGGCGAGAAAGAAATGAGCCACTTCTGGGGGGGGTTTGGTTGAGAGTCAAGTGGAGGGAATAATGGCTTTGTTTCTTTTTTTATTATCTAGTGGGGAGTCAAGAAGGAAGAGAAAAAGAAGGAGAGAAGAAAGGGGAGCGACAACAAGAGAGTCAAGACACAGACACTCTCGACAAGGGAACGTGATTCGCCCTTTGCCCCCGTTTTGAAGGATCGTGAATGTCTCCTGCGCCTGGTTCAGCTCTCGACTGCTGATGATGCTTCAGCTGAACCGAAAGAGACCTCGTCTCATCCTTCTCCTTCGTCATCCCAGGAACATGAATGATTAACAGCCAGCCACTCGTCCACCTGGATTTTTCTAGCCAACGAGAAGCTTCCGAGTTGACAGGATCATCTCGATCCGTCCCCCTCTTCCTATTCTAGCATAGCAGTTGCCCCGGTAACTCCCTTGTCAGCCATAAGGCTACGATCGCTCGCGATCCCATGAGATATGATGAGCGAGAGTTAGCGAATGACCCCTGCCTTGAATCCAGGGGGCACGAGTTTATCGGAGTCTCTCTTGCTTGTGATTGGAGTGCTGGAGGTTTGGGAATCAGAATGGATACGGCGTCTCCAGTCTCGGAGTTTAAGATCTGGCGGCTTAGTCTGCGTACTACGGAGCACCAGGATCTGTCCGACAGTAACAATACGGGTCATCCTGCAAGTCATCCTCCGATTTTAATCAAATTCGGCTGGATCGACGGCGAATGAGGTCTGGACGAGATCTGATCAGAATTGAAGTTTCACCCAGAAGCTTGGGATGTCTCAATGACTTTGTTGATCCTTGCTCGCCTATTCATTATTATTATTATTATTATTATTGCCGAGACAATTACATTCCTATGGCAGTGGATCGCAGTTGCCATTAGACTTAGGCTCATGCAAGAATGAATAGCATTCCAACAGGTTTTGCACAAGAAATCAGTCCGTGCGACACTTGTCCTTGTTTACGCGAGGTACCTAGAATAAGCAAATTACTCTTTTGAGCATGGAAGTTCCATGGTTCCACACTCACTAGAAGCTGGCCTAGTGGTACAGCGGGATACTATTACATTCACCACAGACCCAGAAAAACATGGAAGAATCCTGTCGCCCTGTCGCCCTGTCGCCCCAGAGGCTCGAGAGCCTTGAGACTAAGGTACCTTGCTGAGATTTTCTGATTCCATCGATTATTGAAGGTGGTCGATGACGTGATATACTCGTAGGCCCCGCTATCCAGGTAATTTCACCCGACCACATGAACCTCATCAATCCATCGTAGGGCGCCATCTAGGCACCTCCCTGCTTCCTCTGTCCAGTCTACAAAGATAGTAGTTAGCACCTATCTAATAGCACCTCAAACCCCATCTAGAAAGAAACTCACATAGAACGCCAACCCATACGTCTCTGTCGTAAACGTAATCTTCGCCCCCTTGGGAAAATAAAAAACATCCCCCGGCAAAGCCGTCACCTTCTGCCCCGTCTCATCCGCAATCTCAAACTGCCCCTCAAGGATGATCTTCATCTCGTCGTAGGTGTATTCATACACCAGCGGGGTGCCTTTTTCCAGGCGGTAGAAGCCAGCCGATATGGGCTTGTCGGGGTTCTCTTTCTCGCTTTACGGAGGAGATCATGTCAGTTTGAGTGGAGGGAGTTGTTAGATTCAAATTACCTCGAGTACACATCGCCTAGGAAGGCATTCTCGTTTGCGATCAGTGGTGGCTTAAACGTGGATTGGGCTTTGGCGTGATATCTGAACGGGACCGCCATTTTGGTGATGGATGGGAGTATCAGTATAGATGAAAGATGCGTCTACTCTATACTGCCTATGCTGAGATATTCAAACGGTTAATTTTCAGTTCTGATATCGCAATATATATAGGATCTATGTATATTTCCAAACCATTGTCTTTCAAGTTCCATTCTCCCTCTACAAGGATAGAATAGCATAGCAATGCGAACAAACGGATCAAGTTACCACACTAGGAGACCAGCGACAACTTTTCACGAAACAAATGATCTACCCATGGGCAATCGGATACGATTCCTCCAGTTGGTTATTCATCTCGAGGTACGGAGTCCTTCAGCAGAGATTCTCAAGGCGTGAGGTGAGGGGTCGAGTGATGAGGGGTATTCCCTTATCTCTTAGTACCTTAATCATCCTCTGGACGTTATCAGTAACCGTACAGTCGACTGTCAACGTACGGTAATGGACAGCCTGAGGTATCTACAGAGTATCCAAGGTACCTTTCAAGGGAGGTAAAACCAAAGTCTCAGCCTACGAATTACCGTACCGGGAACTAGATACGTACCTACGGACCATACTTCGTAGTCCTGGACAATTTTGCCTGGATTGGTTAGTCTTTCCTACCAAATGCCTGGGTATCTGCGGAGCACTCCCGCGATAACATCCATCATCTGTGAATCCCACATCCAGCAGTCTCACCCCATCCAGCAATCCGCAGATGGATATGGCGATATGGAATCATCTCCAAGAATATTGATGTTACCTACGCCTCTCAAATCTACCAGAAAGTCCGAGAGCTGTGTCCATCTGCCTTAGAAAAGAACCTGGGGATGCTCTGCTTGCTTTGGCTATCTACCCCGCGACAAAGATGGGATTCAAGAACCCAAACTGAACCAACCATCCTGCATGCAACCATGCAAATCACTTCTTCCTAGGCCCGGACTGTCTTAGTCAGACCAGCCTCTTTGCCCTGTCATCAACTAATGGCAGACCCGAAGGATGACACCATACATCACTACCTACCTAAGACTAGTGGATGATTTGCTTAGTGGGCTGGACGATCATTAAAAAGAAGGAACTTCCCCCGTTTCCTCTTGGGGGTCTCTCATATTTTCCTACTACTCTCTATCCGACTAACTGATACTCACTAGCGGTAGAAAAGAGACCGCCTTATGCCAGAGCCCCAGAGTCCCTCAGCGGGGAATAAATGCGATCTCCGGTCTTGAGTGTCTGCGGCAAGTGTCAGTCGAAGAGATATCTCTCGCAGCTTTTTTCGGTGCTTCTATAGTCGGCATCAGTGACCAGCTGGAGGTCAGATATTATATATATCAACAGGTTTGTGGAATGGACGCTTCTTGAATCACTATCAGAGCTAAAGTCATTTTCGTTGTAGAGAAATCAAATTCAATCCTGCTGATAAATCAGAGCCGGGTCTTCTTCCTTCATATTTCGCATCCTGGTAGGAAAGAAAGTCTGTGAACAAATCGCCTCATGCTCGTTTAGCCCATGCGCCAACCCATTGCATAAGCAAATCCGGAGCAGCTGTTCAAAAGAAGACCTTGTTCCCTAAGCGACATCTTCGAAACGACGACTCCAACTTGGACCCTCTTGTGGTTGCCCCAACGCAATCAAATCACCAAAACAAGGCCAAGTCTGTATAGCATTCAGTACATGAACCGCAAGCAAGCCGTTGCAACCAACTCTGAACGCCATGCTAATCAAGTAGAAGGAAAGCCCGTAACCCAATCGCAACTTGACTTCAATTCCAAGTCCATCCTGGATTATACCGCGACCGACATCCCGTTCCAACAAGGATATGCCTGGCTCTCTCGTCGGAATGTCAACCGTCAAGATCACGAGCGACCTCGAGTCATATCTGGCTTCACTCCGATCGTATCTAGCCAGCAATGACTTCGCGGCATCTCAACTTGAGGACAAAGAAAATGAAGGCCACTCAAAACCAGGCCAGCCGCCTGCAGCATTGCAACAGTCCCAAAAGCCGAGAGAATGCAGGCCATATGAACAAGTCCGAGTCAAGGGCTCGGCTGCAAACAATAATATGTCCCATCGTCGGTAGAAAATCGAACACATCGACCTTTCGATTCTGTTATTTTCCTTTATCCCAGAAACACTGCAAAATACGGAGTCCAATTCAGCTCAGGTACCGAAGATTGAAATACTATGCAAACCGTCAAGCAGAACAGGATAAAGACTCACCTTCCCATCCCCATTCTTGCATGACACTGACCCAATGTAATTTACCTCTAACCGTCTTCTCGAATTCGATGTTTTCCAATGGCTGTATCGCAGAGCTTCTTCGAGTGCCTACGAATTGGGGCTTAGAAGAGACTGTTAGGTCGGAAGGAATGGCGAAATTGCTGATGGATCGTTCCTTCGTTCCCTGGGATGTTAAGCCTGGCCCCCTACGTCCCACCGCCCCGGCTTTGCTCTCGAGATTAGAACTGATGAGCACGCGCTCGTGGCGTCGCTGCTTTTCTGCCTCGATGGTGTCACGACGAGACCAAACTTCCTGGACTACTTCAATACATCGATCAATGGACCCTATCATGAGACGAGACTGGATGGCTCTCCATCGACTCAAAACCCACTGGCGATCCTCTCCTGGTCCGGCCTCGCATCCAGCTGCTATAAGAGGAAACATCTGAACGATTGTCGTGCGGGAACCCGAAGGAACAGTAGCCAGCAGTATCAATACACGCTTGGCCAGGTCACTAGCTGGTTCTGAAGGCATTTCTGGCACTGCTTGATGAAGATACAGTAAAGTTGCCCAACGATAGGCGTGTGCCGTCTGGATACTGTGCTGTACTTCGGATGTTGGATCCTCCGGCGGCACGAACCACTCCGGTGGTTCCCATTGCTCGATGAGTCTTTTTAGCTCAATAGCCTGAGAGACAAGAGAAATTGAATTTGATTCCGTCTTCCGAACCCGTTGGATCAACCTCGCGACCTGGTTGATGAGTGGAAAGAGTGTAGTGGCGCAGCCCATCAAGGGGTCAATCTCATGTACTGCGTTCCGGGGCAGCTGGAAAATGGAGAAGTCCATATCCTGATCTCCCTCGTCGTCCCGAGAGGTTAAGCGTGCGATTGCGTCCATATACAGCCAGGTGTTATATAGAAACCGGATTCTCTGGATGTCGTTTGCATCCCGAACCTTGGAGCCTAGGACTTGTGATACGAGTGCCTTGGCCCCACGTATATGCTGGATACAGTTACGGGTGTGTTGGTCCCATGTGTCCGCGAATGCCAGAGCCAAGCTCGTAGCTAAGGCGGCATCTGTCCTCATGTTCTGAATATCTTGGACCATGTGAGTGATGCTTCTTCTCATATGATCCACGCCGTGCATTCTTAGTCCTGGATTGACCTTGCTTGAATGTAAAGCCGTCATAGAGAGTATTGCATGGTACAAGGCTGGAGTTTCTCCAGCCAGAGGCCATATCAGAGTCCTCCAGGGGTTTTCGTTTAACCCATCCTTGACAGACAAAATCCCGCAAGTGAACCTGTCAAATTGCAGTACCAACATTTCGGGACTTGCAATATCAAAATTTGGCTCCTTGGTCAGCATAACAGGGGTATTCGGGGTCTCGGACGGCACCCTGCCATCGGAATATCCTACCACCCACGGATCAATATACTCGTCGGAATGGCGGGCTATTTCTTCTATTCTATCATTGTCCTCTTCTAGAAGTGCTGCAAAACTCAAGTTGCCCGGTCGAAGAGTTGTGTTCTGCGAAGCCAGCCCCAGTGGCCTTCGTCCTGGGGTTGTATGGATCTCCAGAGCGGAAGGTACAATGTCGGAGAGCCGCGGAGACTGTTCGAGCGGTGAACTATTTGTGAAAACCGGTGCGAAGAGCTCATCTTCTGCATTACTGAAGTCCAGGAAACGATCTATGCCACCGTTCCAGGATGTGAGGTTTTCCTGGGTCAATGCAAGTGGTGAGTCGGTGGGAGGAGAATCGTTCGACTGCAGTGTATGAATGGGTGCAACATCATTCGATTCCAGAGAGGACGCAGTCGGTGCGGACGATCGAGCGCTAACCGGCGAAGGTTGACGACCCTTGCCCGCCTGCACTGAACGACTGGCCCTCCTTTCTTTGCCTGATGTGGCCGGATCACCTGAGAGATCTTAGTGGTGGCCAGAATATGAAAATCTTGCAAACCCGCAGACTTACTCTTACTGGCTTGAATAGAAGAAATCCTGCTGACCACGTTGGTTTCTTCGAATGGGCGCCATTTAAAGTCCTTTTTGTAACCTCCACACTCCACGTTGCGCTTCTTGCATTGGAGACAGGTTGGCTTCGACTCGTCACATTTTAGTCTCTTTGCCTTGCAGGTAATGCATCCTAATGTACGGTGAAAGGAAATGGTGTCAGCGCTCTGCGCAATTCTGTATTGTGCGGTTTACACCGATCCGACATCCAGGCTTGATTTCTTAACAAGTGATAGGAATGAACTTTACCGTTTCGACTTTTAGATTGCTTGGGCTTGTTAGTGACGGCTTCTCTTGTAGCTCGATTCCGTGGTGGGCTTCTTTTTATGAAAGAGGCCGAATCTAATGTCCTGGTGGACGAAGGAATGGTGGGAGTAGTGTCTAGAATTGTCGAAGGCGATGGGATCTTGATGTTGTCCATACCGCTCGGGCTAATGACAATAGGGACTTAGCAGATATGGAGAAACCCATCCACTAGAGGAGACAGAAACCCAAATAAGATAGCAGGGCAAGACGGAGAGAGGGAGGAATAACGATGGATTTACGATTCTAGAGTAGGCGGCAAAAGCAATAGATAAGCCATAACATCCGTATCTGTCAAATCGAAAAGAAGACCGGAGAATAGCTTGCTGTCACTTGAGAAACGATAGATAAACTACGGCCTCGAGAGAGACCCGAGCCGTGAGGAGAAACGCATCCAGATGATAAGGATTGCACTAAACATGCAGATTGCGGGGGCGACTGCTGGAGTGAGTGAGGTTGAGAACGCAGATTCGGCGATCAGACTCGATAAGCCACTGTTTAACTGGACACAGACAACACCCGGTAAACCTTCTGTTAGAAATAGATAGGAGAAGCTCCACGGTAGACTCGGAGCAGTCCAAGTACCTCCATTCAGTCCATTGCTCATTGTGAAGCTTAGAAAAGAAGCAAATCAACTGCCCCCTCCATCACTGGGCCAGCTCAACAGGGCCAGTCACCAGTTAGATGGAAGCGTGGAGTACTTGCCGCGATTATGACAAGGCCCAATCATCGTGAAAGAGATAGTACAAAGGAGAGCGCCACTCGGAGGGAGAAGAAGGTTGAGGTATGACAGCAAATCTAACAGAGAGTTGGAGATGATCAACTGTCTTGGCCTTGCCTGTTCGAGAGTGGCTCGTGTGAGGTAATCCCTGGCCTCTTATTCGATGCTTCCCTCGCTCGCCAGTTGTTGATAGGTGTTAGTTATTTACCCCTCATGATATCCTTAGGTTTTAAAGGTACGACTCCGCACTTGTCTCGGGGCTTGTGTCATAGAACAGCTGCTCGGATAGAAATATTATCTCATTGAGTCGAACATTAAGAAGAATTGTATTACCTTGTATTCAAATTCTAGCTGTTTTATTATCCGCCATATTTGAGAAGGCTGGATACAGAAACTACTGAGCAACAGATCATGATATGGAAACATCCCTGTCGCTTAAGATTCGACGAGTATGAATCAAGCCCAATACTTCAGTGCCTTTAGGCATGGCACTCGAATATCTCTAGATTTTGTTCATTCACTGTCTGCTGGAATAAATGATTTGAGAGACTGCCAAGTATGACCGACGACATAAAGATGATCCATTATCTATCATTCACTCAAGTTCAAAGGAAATAACAGTGAATAAAGTATCAAGCACTCGGCGGACTGTATAGATCCTGTCGTTCCTTCAAAAACATGGCCGTCCTCCACGCCAGTGGTAAGCAGTCAGCAATATGGCCAAATACGCAAATCTGCGCGATAGAGTCTCATTTCCTAGAGTCCTTGACCTGCCGAATTACCAGATCTATGACCCAGAGCACTATAAACATGTCAGTGACCAGGTGATCGAACCACGAAGGCATTGGTGTCTACTCGCGGAGATTATTAAGATAAATAAAGGCTTTCCGCTCAAACTCATGGCTAGCAGTCTCTATAACGAGGACCCATTTCATATCGTCTTTCATACTCATGATCTAGGAGGCTCGTTCGTGACACCTGATCTGAAGAACGAACGTACGGTTGCCATCATGTATGCTCGAAAGCATATCTCACGCTGGAACTCAATCAATGTTATTGTGACGGACCATTACTCGATCAAGGTAAGAACTACCTATGCTGGAATTCCCTTCCAGGTGGTTTCCTCTCTACGACAATGTGCTGAAAGAAACCCAGCTCATACCCTTATCCCTGCATGACTTGCTCCGACTCAATGATCAGGTCCAAGTATGGCCAAGGAGCTTCGCAAAGCACGAAAGCTGTCACAGTTGTGGCAAGAAAGCATCACTGGAATGTCAACAGTGCGGCATTTTATCGTACTGTAGCGAGGTGAGGACCGATACAACCGCCTTGTGAGGGCTTGCGTAACATTGACTATATCATAGACTTGCCACATGGACGATCAGAAAAAGGAACATGGCAAGTACTGCAAGGTCATCCGGGACAGGCACTTTCAAGCCATGTGGATGTTGGATTGGCAGCGGTTCAGGAACTTCCTGACTTTTCCCTGCGCAGCCAATGAGCCTGACATCTCGATGGCGCTGTAGCACAAGACAAGAAAGCATCAGAGCACATCGGTTCTTAATGGAGGGAAGCGTATTCAGTGCTGGTGGCCAAGTGCAAAGATAGCCTAGATTAAGGCTTCCCTGTGAAGAGCTTGCTGCATGATCGCTTTCCAGCAGTTGAGAAGCTTTTGTGTACTCAAGATAAATCCTTTACCCATGCTTAAGGAGACTTACCAACCCAGATTCAAGGACCTGTTGGTTTGAGCATCTCGTCACTATTAAGAATAACTTGCGAAATGCGGAAAAAAGAATGACAAATAGGCGACATCGGCCCGCGGGGAATCCGCTGTAGGGCCAAACGGGCTGTCGCGGGCCCCCAGACCGAGGTTGGGTGATCGGTCCAATGGCGGGGATGGTGGCAATCGCTCCCAAAAGGCTTAAGCTCCCCATGATCTTCCCCATAACACCACCTTCGTCTATCCATCGTATCTTCTTTTCTCTTGCTTCCCCTCATGTTTATACCGAAAATTTGATTCGGACTGTGAAGATGTTTCGGTCAGTTCCTCGTCGGATCCCGCGACGCTTTGCCATTCTCCCTTCGACTGCCGGCAGTCCCTCCCGTCTCGCCCTACGTTCATTCACATGCGGTTATCCGCGGATGTCATCATCTCCGCTGCCGACCGTCGAGCCTCCCGTTTCGACGGCCTTGCCATCAGACTCGTTTCAACTGCTGTCAACCGCTGAGAAGGCTGGGGCTGCGGAGGATGCGCTTTATGAGCAACAGATAAAAGATGTAGAGGCTTGGTGGAAATCTCCGCGGTTCGAGGGTATCAAGAGACCCTACTCGGCCGCGGATGTTGTCAGCAAACGTGGCGCTTTACAGCAGACATATCCGAGTTCTCTAATGGCTCGTAAGCTCTTCAATCTGCTAAATGAGAGAGCGGCAGAGGGAAAGCCGGTTCACACCAGTATGTAGGGCCTTTATGGAGCTCCTTGGTCTAAGACTAATGCGTGCAAAGTGGGTGCAATCGATCCCGTACAAATGACACAGCAAGCTCCAAACCAGGAGGTGCTGTATATCTCAGGATGGGCATGCTCCTCCCTCTTGACTACAACGAATGAGGTTTCTCCGGACTTTGGTGACTACCCGTACAATACCGTTCCCAACCAGGTACAGAGATTGTTCAAGGCGCAACAAATGCATGATCGCAAACAATGGGATACCAGGCGAAAAATGACCCCGGAACAGCGAAAGTCGACCCCATATGTCGACTATATGAGACCGATCGTTGCAGATGGCGATACTGGGTGCGCTTCATCACCATGCTGCATTTGATGACCCACTAACTGACAACCTCTATGCTACAGACATGGCGGTCTTTCCGCGGTCCTCAAATTGGCCAAGCTTTTCGCAGAGAATGGTGCTGCGGCTGTTCATTTCGAAGATCAGCTGCATGGCGGCAAGAAGTGCGGTCATCTGGCAGGGAAAGTCCTTGTGCCTATTGGAGAACACATTAACAGACTCGTCGCGGCTCGTTTCCAATGGGACATGATGGGCGCCGAGAACCTGGTGATTGCTCGAACGGATTCCGAGAGTGGGAAGTTGATTAGCAGTGCCATCGATGTGCGTGATCACGAGTTCATCCTGGGCGTTGCGGAGGAGGTCGAGCCTTTGGCGGAGACCCTACAAGCAATGGAGCGCGAAGGTGCTGCGCCTGCAGAGGTCGATGCTTTCGAGCTGGAGTGGGTCAAGAAGCACAAGCTTGTCACTTTTGATGAAGGTATATTGTTTGTCATTCTCTCGGTTCTGCAAGAGTAGAGGCTAATAATGGGCCAGCTGTCGACGCACATCTCGAAGCTGAAGGAGCGCCCCAGTCTGCCCGTGATGCATACAAGAAGAAGGTCCAAGAGAATCCCGACCTGTCTATTTCGCGTCGCCGAGCTCTGGCGAGCGACTACACAAAGAAACCCGTCGTCTGGTCTTGTGACAGCCCCAGGACCAGGGAGGGATTTTACCATTACCGTGCCGGCTTTCCGGCAGCGACAAAACGAGCGAAGGAATTCGCCCCTTATGCAGACCTCTTGTGGGTTGAAACCGGCGACCCCAATGTCGAGAAGGCTGGAAAGCTAGCAAGCGATGTTCGAGCCGCATACCCCGGGAAGAAATTGGTCTACAACCTTAGCCCGTCATTCAACTGGATGGGCCAGGGCTTTGACGAGGCATCTCTCAAGTCTTTTGTCTGGGATCTTGCCAAGCACGGGTGAGTTGAAGAGCCATAAGTTGTCAATGCAGACAGAAACTGATAATTGGAATAGCTTTGTCCTGCAACTCATCTCCCTTGCCGGCCTGCACAGCAATGCCACAATCACAACCGAACTGTCACGCGCCTTCAAGGACGAGGGAATGCTCGCTTACGTGCGACTGATCCAGTCCCGCGAGAAGGAACTTGGCGTCGAGGTCCTCACCCACCAGAAATGGAGCGGTGCGCCGTACATAGACGGCATCCTGGGCGCCATCCAGAGCGGCAGCAGCAGCAGTAAGAGCATGGGGGAGGGAAATACCGAGAAGGGTGAGCTGTCCTCTTCGTTTTCCTGGCAATCAATGCTAACGATCCAAATTACAGGCTTCTAAATATATCCCCGTCATGGCCGGATTACAACAATGCTAGGCGACTTGCTTGACAGCTGTAGTATAAAAAATTCCCATTGTTCATTAGACAGTACCCTCAGTTTCCACGATAATTACCATTATTCGAAATTTTACAGGATACCACGAATCCTTTCAATGTTTGGTTTTAATCTATCACCGTAAAGTAAGGTATGAATACAGAACCAATCCTGCCCACAGGCATTATTCCCATTGACAAATAGAAACGAACCCCAAGGCTGATTTAAGCTCAAACCAAAAATCGGGGCTAGCATGTTTTAGTTTCACTATGTAGTTACGGATTTGATGGGTCAGGTGCTGAGTACATGGGAGACCAAAATGGTTTCATTTATTTCCATTAGTGTACTCCTTTCATACATCGTTCTAGAACTGGGGTAAAGGACAGAAATGATACCTGCCAACATCCCAAGTAAACAACCTAGTAATTTACTGAGTACCTTACTGACGGGATAATACCTACCTTAGGTAAATTCGTTCAGCACCACTGATGTATGCGTATATTGACTTATACATAAAACACCAGTATTTGTTTTGAACCATGCGTACAGACGCTCATGTCTTAATTTCGGTGACGTTCCTTGCCGTCGTATGCAGTCGGAATTTCGGATTGTGTGGGCCCTGGGTTTGTTTAGACTCCGGAATTCAAGTCTCCCTACGTCCCGAAAGATTGTAGGATATCCAGTTTTTAGATGTAAAGATACAGAAAATCCTCGTTACTCAAAGTAGAGGCGAAGGGGACAACAGACGAAATCGACTTGTAAGGGTCTGGCAATCTGCGACAGTTGAAAAGAATAGAGACTAGCGTACATGTAGAAGGAGATCAGCGAACGCAAGAACACACGCCAGACAGTAGCGAATGCATCAAGTCGGCTGTGGTCGAGACGCGGTAATGCAGTGCCCATGCCAACAGAACTCAGCAGGGAACCTACCAACGTGAGGCGAAAACATTATCACGTCGGATGAGGATAGTGGACTAGCCTATAGCATTACAAAGGAAAAGAAGATGAACAAGACCGATATTTTCCCATCACCAAAGAAAGAAAAACTACGCTCAATAAACAGACGGAACAGATTTGCTTGAGTTCGGATCTAGTTGACGCGGAATGCATCGAAGATGACTATAGGGTCGTTAGCAGGACTCCGTAAATGACGAAAGTGTCTCAACCAACCTTCATGGCCCCTGCGGCAACCGCTGGCAATCCACATGAGAGTGTTCAAGAAAGCGTAACGCTCATCTCCAGTTTCCATGGAAAGATTGACGCGATACTTGTAGGTGTTGGGATTGATTGTGTCCGCAATGTTAGGGTCATTGACCTTGTCCAGAACGTCTTTGGCGCCTGTCAGCCATCCTTCAGTCTTGACAATGATGAAGGCTGGCGGATCATCTGCGGTTTGGAGCACATAGTTTGACCGCATGTTAGTAATAGATTCCTTGGTCACAACCTGCGAGTCCTGTCCCCCGGGCTATAAGAGCGTTAGCACTGCTTTGCATCAAAGAAAAAGGATTGCTCACCAAAACAATGCCTTTGCCCCATCGGCCCGCCCATTGACCGCCAATAAATGTTACCCAATCTCTTTGACCCCAGATACTCGGACCGACAGCAACTTTCGGGTTCATCTTGATGCTCATACGGAAGTCCAGTTCCAAAGTAGGCGCAGGAATCTGAAGAGACCGAGCGATATCACCTTCAGGGAATGTGTGCAAGAGGTTATTGGCAGGGATCGAGTCTTTCATGACACTAAGGTAGGTGGGGCATTCCAGGAGATGCTGGCGTTGTCTGCTGGTATTCTTCGCGCGAACCTGCTGGCAGTAGATGCATTGCACGGACAGACACTTTTTTCCCAATTAGCATCCGTCTTTTTTTGTTTAAACCAGATCAGTCCATTCTCTTACCTTGTCTTCCTCCTTCGCACGAAACTCGACAAATGCGGCATGAACGTCATCTAGGGGAGGAGCCGGGAGATTCGAGGTGGAGGTCTTGGGCTTCGACTTGGGGGTAGCACGAGTCGGCTGCTGGGAACTAGTAGCAGAGGCAGGTCCCGTGGGAGGGCCGGGAGTCGGCAATGCAGCGCGTCCTTGCATGTTCTGCAGTGGAGTCTGCATCGAGGTAGCATGTGGGTTGACGCCGTTCGTCATCATCGGTCCGTTGGGAGTCGGAAGTGCACCTGTGCCAGGCCCTGGGCCAGCACCAGGTGCCGTGGCAGCTGCACCATTCGGAGTTGCAGGGTATCCATTTGCAGCACTGATGCCGTTGGGTGCAGATTGTGCTGTTTGATTCTGACCGCGAAGGCCGGGACACTCGAGCAGGTGCTGCTTCTGGCGCGATGTATTCTTTGCGCGAATTTGCTGGCAATAGATACACTGGACCGAAAGACACTGCAGAACAACCAAGCAAACAAGGTGTTTTGTTAGTGACGACAGTGAAGCGGGTGGTTGAAATATTACGGGAAATACAAGTCACGCACCTTATCGTCTTCCTTGGCGCGGAACTCGACGAACGCCGCGTGAACTTCCTGATCGACGGTACGACCCATGTTCAAGGCGAAAGAAAGGGGGAAAATTGATGAAAACGAGAATTACAGAGACAGCAAGAGATGTTCAGAGATGAAAGAGAGGTCTCAGCTGATGGTAAGGGGGAGGAAGTCGTGGCAGCTGGGAGGGAGCAGACTCGGGGTGAGCGAGGGAGAAAAGGAAAGAGTTTCGGTTTGACGGGCAGAACACGAGACGAGACGAGACGGGGACAAGACAAGACGGTGGCGGTTAACTTACGCGAGCTCGTCAGGACGGAACCTTACCTTAAGCGTAATTTTTATACTGACCCAGAAGTGACAATCTTACAAATCATTACTCAACAATGGTCGGTCACCTTACACTGGTCAATACCTTTAAAAAGTATTCGTTTGGCAATTTCCTCTGGATATTACTTGACCTTCATTGTACTCTATATTCTCTGATTCTTTCTATTGCTCGTATCGTTGCCTGATGGACGCCCTGGCACATTGGGAGCCCTCAGAGCTGAAAGTCTAAATCTGTCACGCGGTCGAACGATCAAGCCGTAGAGCTGAGGTCGCGGAAGGCAAGGCTATTTTCCTCTGTCGCTTTTCGGCCGTTTAGATGGGTGTATGACTTCTCTGATTGTATAATCCAAAAGACTATCAAATACGTTTTCATATTCTATGGTGCTGTTCTAGTAGTATTCTGGACGTGTCAAGTAACAAAAGGTACCAACCAGTATCGATCTCTGTACTCCGTACTGCCATATTACTGCGTATCAGGACTGTAGGTAGCAGACTACACTAGGTAGGTGGCTGTGTAGAATCTTGTGTGTCCGTAACGCGGATCTCCATGCAATAATCATGGCTGTTGCTACGCATATTATACTGCGTAAATTCCCCATGCATCCCACGACTCAATTCAATCATGCGGTCGTCTCAATTGGCAGATAGATTTGAGACACATTAAATCTTAATGTGCAATATTTCGATCATTCCTCCACTGAAAGCCGTGGCACAGCCATCATCTCACTCGCGTATTGCCTCGGAGTAGGAGGCGTCGAGAGCGTTAAGAAAACATTGCTGTCACCTTGTAGAGTCTCAAGTTAAAGGGCTCTTCTGTGAACATTAAATACACGATGATTGAGCGAAGGACTGATGCGCGTCCTGGCGATCTGTTGATGCTGTATTTGCCGTTACTGAACATATCGAATACGTCGGTGGTATGCAGGCTTGAAACATGCCAGTTGTTTTTACAGCTCGAAAATACCTGTGACGCTACAACGTTTGTCATTTGTCTCCGTACCAGTCCTCATCAAGAAATATATTCTGTGGTATATACGCGCTCTAATCGGACCTTGATACGTAGTAGATGGTACTCCGTAGCGAACTTCCTTCCATATGGCGATAATTCAGACGGAATCAACAAGATCGTCTTCAGTGAAGATGATGTATTCGGATTTTTTTGGGACAGGGGGAAAGGAAGGTGGAAAAAAAAAAAAAAAGTCGACCGACGCAGGGATCGAACCTGCAATCTTTGCTTTAGGAGAGCAACGCCTTACCATTAGGCCAGCCGGCCAGTAAGTGCGACAGAAAATCAAGGACTAGATCCTATGTAGACAAACGCATGATTCAATATTTTAGCCTTAATGGAAATGTACTCGATGCATCACCCTTATGCTTGAACAAAATTGATTAACACCAGCTGATTGTGTTGATAATGTCCAGCGACTTAGTTGCATCGATCTGCGATCAACATAGAGAAGTAGGGTAAATAGTCCAAATACGTACACTGCCGGCTTACTACTATGTTCAAGTTCACAGCTAGTTTGAAACGCACTTCAGGAAGAGCTGTGACTGTGTTCAAGTGAAAATATGCTTTTCATAGAGATATTCGAGTAGATACAAGAGACTTTGTAGTATTGATTAACATCAAGGACGAATGAAAAAACTAAAGCAGGAACAAAGGGAAAGAAAAAAAAAGAAAAGAAAACAGTAATAGTAGATAGAGAAGTAAGAAATGCATTTCCACGAGAAGTGTGAAGCAAATAGATAGAGTCATTGCATTGCTGATAATTGAATATGAGCCATATTATTAGCCAGAGATTGAAAATGAAATACGAGAAGATTTTGAATGCCACTCTTACACGTTGTCTCTGCGATCGATATCCATCGTAGGAATGCCTACATGTCGGATAAGCGCAAGTATATCTCTCCGAATTTGTAGCGAACACCGTACTCCTCGGTACTCTCATCCTCGTACGGCTCCTGATGGACTAAAAGAAAGCCCTTTGTTGCCAGGGTAAGTATGTGCATCAGGCCATGCGTGGCGACTGTACGAGAGGTAGTTTCAGGAGGCAGGAGCGCCGAAAATGCTACTTCTTTACCATCCGAGGCACCAAGACGAAGAAAGCCGGCACCAGTATCATGAGCAGTATCCTGCTCTGCAGAATCTTGAGCGGGCTCCTCAAATTGCAGGTTGAGGAACTCGAGAAAGTTCAGGCTCTCCTGGTCCATGCTAGAGTTCAACAGCTGGTCACGGAAGGCTGCTCGATTCCTACCAGTCTCGTCCTTGGGCTCAGCGTTGGTTCCAACGTCAAGCTCGCTCTGGAGGTAGCCAGCTAGATCAATGTTTTCAAGGAAATCCACATCATCTTCTTGTGTTCCTGGGATTTCAAGGCCCTCCAAGTCGTACTGAAAGCCGCGTCCAGCCAGAGGACTTGCACTTGTTACGCGACTGCAAGCTCTGCCTGGTGCTGCGAGTGGAGGCACGGAAGCTGCAGAATCGCGAATTCCCCGAACAGAGAAGTCACTAATGCTGCCAAATCCACGGAAGATACTTGTTGCAGACAGCCCAAGCCGGGAGCTTCGGACGGACGCTGTGATGTTCCAGGGCATTTGGGAGGAGTCGTCTCGAAGGACAGATGAGGCATGGCGGCCAATCTCCATATCCTAGATAACTGTCAGTAATTGCATGACTTATAGAACCAAAATCAAACTGCGCAGAAAAAAAGTTTAGCCCACGCACATCATGTAAGTTGTTATCGTCTTGAAAATGCCCACCTCGCCCGAGATGTTCCTCGGACTCTCCCCTGCGTCGAATGCGTCGAGTCTCGGAATTAGCATCACTGTCTTCAGTTGTCGAAGGAGAGCCCTTGCGTTTCTTTGATCTTTCGATGCTTGTCAGTGATGCGTACAAAGTCTCTCCCGAGAAGAAATGCAAAGGATGCTGGACGTGAGATGTTCCCAACCCAACGCCAACTGAGCCAATTCCCTGGCCGAAGACCCAGAAGTCTGCATTTTTCTTAGCTTGGGTAGGCACCCTATTCTTCAGCTTCTGCTTTAGAGCAGCGGCCATGTTTTGCACGTATTCATTGTTGTATTGAGCTAGTTCAGTGTTTCGCAGGGCGGTTTGAGTATCTGTTGCTACGGCTTTCGGGACTCTTCGAGTCCCACGCATTGACGCCTCCCGAGTTTCTGAAACATTCTCTACCTCTTCTGGATGTTGTACTTCAGAAGCTTGAGGCATAGATGTATCTCCGTTGAAGATGGGGGTAGGCTGTCCGTGCTCAGTTATTCCTTGGATGGCCCCGTCGGCTAGCATTGGCTGGGGAGACATTGTCAGTAAGAACAACAACCCGTACTGCTCAAACCGTACCTGATAGTCCCAGGAAATGTCATTCAATTCACCCTCTTTCACCTTACCAGCGGCCGGTGCCTCAGCTTCAGACCAGCCAGAGCTGCGCTTGTCAACCTCAGCAGCAGCATGTAGCTCCCCAAGCTCAACGAGATTCCCATCCTCATCAAAGTCAAAGTCAGGCTGCAGAAGAATACCCGCTTCATCATTGAGAGCAGTCGCTGCAATCCGCCCAAGTTGAACAGTTCTTTGGGCAGAATTCGCCATTTCGCTTTCAGAACCGAACCCGTGTATATCCCCCAGAATTAGATCTTGCGACGCAAAGTCAAGCTGCAAACTGGAATTACGCGAGGCAGCGGTCAGACTTAGGTCTGGTGTCATTGGTAATTGAAAGCTGGATTGCTGGCTTGCTCGATCATCCTTTGACGGGTTCAACCCTAAAAGATCCAAACCCGACCCTGGTAGATTGTTCTCCGGAAGGAACGACGGGTCATACGGCAAGATGAGCTGATCAGGCCTGAGAAAAGCTTACATTAGGATGCTTTCAATGACACAAATATCCAACGATATAACGAGTCGAAAGCAGAAAGAACGAACCTAGCTTTGCCAGCCGACGGGTCCAACGCTGTGCCGGGGAGAGCTCCCAGCATTGATCTCAATCTGTCATGCATTGCCTGAACATCTGTGAGGGTATAGCGGCACTGTTGATTGTAGACTCTGGCGACTCCGTATCTGCGTTGTCTGCTGTCAATAGTCCGGTCTCCTGGTTTGATCCAGTGATGGAGCTCTCACAGTAGGTTCCCCTGGAGTCTTAACGCCATAGGTGCTGCAGGATCCATGATGACCTCGCAAGCTTTCGGAACATCCACGTCCAGTATCGCCTTCTTATTCAATCTTCTTGTGATGGATCTCGAACCTAGCGTTGCGACCAGCCTGCGAGAAGAGCAAATCAGCTCACATAGGAACCAAGTTGAGAAAGAATTCATATATGGAGAGGTCGCGTACCATATCGTAGCAACCCCGTGCTCGGGGGATGTGAGTACTAGAGTAAACGCAGGAGTCAGTGGCGTGAGAAGCTGGAAAACGACCCGGAAGAGTACAGAGAGCCTCTACAAATCAGTCTACAGAAAGGCAGTACTTACTTTCGTGACTGTAGAACATGATGATGATCCTTCGTAGCGTTGTCTTTTTAAATATGGCCAAGTTGGACCACTCTTGTCGTGACGCGAGCTGACCCTTTGCGCGTTGAGCGTGTCTGTTGGTGTGTGAGGGTTTCTGAGATAGATTCTATATTGTGATGATGATTCAAAGAAATACCCTAGACCGCAGACCTCTGAGATTGTCAGCTTTCTAGCCCGAGGCAGTCACAGGTACGTTCTAGGATATTGGACGAGAAGAAGTTGTAGAACTCCGGAGGCTTAGTATCACATCTGCAGAGCAGATGGGAGTTTGCTTCCTCAAGGTGCATCAGTCAAGCTTGAATGATGCCCATGCCCTGCGAAAGGTGATGACTTTTGGTACGATTATGAATGATACGAGGCGATGGAGAGATAAGAGACAGGTGCTGGACGGTCTGGAAACCGGAAAGTTCTTCGCTCGAGGATCGAGAAGAGAGTAGGAGTGCTTCAGCACTTGATGCCAGAGTCCTCTGCAAGTTCGGATTTGAGCTCACTTCGCGTGGACGCCCCTAATCTGCTGACAGCTGAACCACCAGTTATTGATTTTCTGACTTGGTCGACTCGACACTTCTATTGTCTACCTCTGCTTTCTAACTGTAAGTCTAAACCAGCAATCAATCTTCCATGGCCCATGACTTCCAGACTGGAGGTCTCTGCCCAACCGTGAAAACCAAAGACGAGCAGATGGATGAGGGCTCACAAAGAAAGTCGGTAAGTTATGAATGCCCGATATCTCATTATGAGCCCGCCAGCATCAATGCACCGCCAGACAGAATACTCTTTTTTCCCCGCGTATTTTAGAAATGATAAAGGCAGTATGGAAAAGATAGATGAAGAATCGTTACGGAACTCTCGAACCATAGCTCCGATAGAGATGCATGCGGGCATGAGACATGCGAAAGGAAAGATGACCAGGAGAAAACCCAATGTAGAAATTCGACGCCAAATGAGATCTCCTTATATTATCAAACACACCCATGTTTGATATACATCAAATACCTTCCTCGAACTATACCAAACATATATAACTGATATCTACCATTCACAGAAAGCTTACTCGAGAGGAATGCCTTCGTACTCGCCATAGCCGAGAGCGAGGTTCATGTTCTCTGTGACAGGCGTATGAGCAATCTGTCCTTTCGAAATAGCGCTGGACGGGAGTACTTACGGAGGCACTGAGTGGCCGCACCCTTCAGAAGGTTGTCGATCGTAGCGCAAACAACGACACGCTTGCCGCTGGAGTGAACGGCAAATCCTCCGACCTCGATACCGTGGCGGCCAGCAATGTCCTTGACAAGAGGCGCCTCACCAATGATCTTCACAAGCTTCTCGCCGGCGTAACGCTCCTGGTAAATGTTGCGGATGTCGCGAGAAGTCATCTCCTGGTTGAGAGGAATGCTGATGGTGTGCTGTGAAAACAAGATTAGTGCATGGAACAAGCATATAGCAGAAGGGACAAAAGATAAGAGGCAGCGAAGTACATACGTGAATGCCTTGGAACCAGACAGCGACGTGGGGGATAAAGGCAATGCTAGTTCCGAGCTGTGTGCTGATTTCTCTCTCGTGGATGTGGTCAGTCAAGCTGTAAGGAATAATGTTGTTTGTGAGGTTCTGCACATCGTTCTTGGGGCTAGGCTTGGTGCCAGCGCCCGAGTATCCGGAGACACCAAAGACAGTGGGCTGTCCACCGAGGTAGGGAACGAGAGGAGCAATGCCGATTTGGGCAGCCGTAGCATAGCAACCGGGGTTGGAGATACGAGTGGCCTGAGCGATCTTACCACGGTTGACCAGCTCAGGAAGACCGTAAGTCCACTTGTCGTCGAAGCGGTAATCGGCGCTCAGGTCGACAATGACGTTGCCCGTTTCAGAGCCCTGGTCGACAGCATCCACGAACGGTTTGCAAACACCGTTAGGTAGAGCCATGACCCAGCAGTCCACATCACCGTTCGCAGACATGCGCTTGACGTCTTCGGGGCTCAGATTCTCGTAAATGATCTCACGCTTGTCATAACCCTGCAACTTCTTGCCAGCCAGCTCGCGCGAAGAAACATGGCGGAGATCCATGTAGGGGTGAGCATTGATCAGGTTGATCAGGGCTTGGCCAGTGTAGCCACGGGCTCCAATGAGAGCAACCTTGGAGGGCCGGTTGTTGGACATGTTCTTTTCTCCCAGAGGAGGGTTGGGATTCGTGGTGGAGTAGGATCTCACAGCGCTGGGAGAGACTGCGGGACGTCCGAAGCGAGCGGCCCGCAAAGCATTAGCGGTGGAGGAGAATGCTCGCCTCTGCTCAACAGAGGCACCGCTGGCACCGAAGCCCTTGCCAATGTTAGTGGCCGCTTGAGCAGCGCGCTGGAGTCTGGCCTCAAGGTTGATGTCACCAAACATCTGGCGGCCATGCTGGTTGAATTCCTGCACCAACTGCTTGACCTCTTCGCCGCTCTCGATGCCATACCAGAAGAGAACCTCACCTTCGCGGCTCAGACTACCATCAGCCTTGTCAAAGAACCAAGTAAGGTTCTCGTCGTTCTCCTTGACTGTCCAGACCAACTGAGGGAAGTCCTTCTTGATGGCGGCAAAAACGTTGTCGGCGACGTTGGACAACCATCCGGACTTGGTGATCGTGAATGTAGCCAGGTGGGGGAAGGAAGAAGAGTTATCTTTGCCTGGGGGCAAGACGACAGCAAGAGCTTCCATAGGCTCATCATAGTAAACCTTGAAGTCACGCTCCTTCAAGCCTTCGACGTAGCGGTCGACGGTAGCCCTGGCATCAAGGCCCTCGCGGTCGCGGACAAGTACATCCTTCAGCTTCTCCAAGTCCTCGAACTCGGAAAGAGAAGTCTTCGTGTGCACCTTGTTACCCCGGCGGATCAGAGTTCCAGCTCCAGAGTCGGTGAACAGTTCCTTCTGAAGATCAGCGGGGTGGATGATGGCAACGCTCGAGGTACGGGGAAGGTCGTTGAGCAGCTCCTTCATCTCCTTGATCTTCAAGCGAGTGCCGTGGCGCACCCACCATTGCGTCATCAAGTGGTCGTACTCTTCATCGAGGTTGATCACAGAGATCTTCTCGCCAGTGTCACCGTTGAACAATCCGCCTTTCTCAGCAAGGTAGACGATCTTCAGTGGCTGCAGGGCACGGGCCAGTTCACCGGCAGCGACGTCCGCGTTCACGTTCAATACCTGGCCGTCAGGGGTTTCCGCCATAGAGGTGAGGATGGGCAGACAGCCAGCTTCGATGGCAGATTCGATAGGCTTCTTGTTGACGCCGTTGATCTTACCAACTAGGTTGTACTTCTCCTTGTCGAGGTAGTCGGCGAAAAACACGCCTGCGTTGATTGGACGGGCCCTCACACCCATACGTTCCAGCTCCTCGATCAGCTTCAGATTCTCCTCCAAGAACAGCTTCCTAGCAAGGGCCAAGGTCTTGCCATCCGTCACTCTGATACCATCTTCAAATTGTGGCTCCACGCCAGCAGCCTCCAGCATGCGATTGAGCTGAGGTCCGGCTCCATGGACGACAATGGGGTAGAGACCGACGTGGTTGAGGAAGGCAAGAGCCGAGGACAGTGTCTGAAGGTGTTCGGTAATGATAGCACCGCCAACCTTAATCACGGCGAACTGCTGAGAGGAGACCGATGTGAAGTGAGAGAGATACTGCTGCACCTCACGCTTCGAACCGATGTTGCTCAGCAGCTGGACAACGGTAGACCGAGTTGACGAGAGGTGAGGATCTGCGGCACGGGAATAGGGGCGGCTCTGCAGTAATGGGACAGCCGAAGCTTTCAGAGCCTGACGAGGAGAGCAGAGTCTCGCAGAGGAAACGGTGTGCGGTGCGGAGAGGGCGCGGATGGGCTTGCTGGTGGAAGCTCTCCGCACAGCAGTGCGAAGGGAGAACATCTTGTCAACCAGCATGCGGCAGCTTTCAATCGTCTTGGAATAAACACAATGTCTAGATGAAACTCAATATGAGTAAAAGATAGCAAAGAAGAAAAGTAGAACCAAGTCAGAGGTCTACAGAAGGGTTTGTGTGGGTGCGCAATGGATTTTACCACACTCCAAAGAGTTTGATCTCCAACGACGCCCAGGAAATCGGCCGCACGTCGGAGTGGGTTTTTCCCAATAATTAAGGTGGGTGGTACTCACAGCCGCTATCCTGCGCGGTTTTTCTCGCCTGCTTATTTAGTGAACCCAGACTCGCGCAGGAAAAATAACTCAACACCTAAGATGAGGTGATTTAGCACCACTAGAATGTCGAAATAGGATCCCAGAAATAGGGAGGAGAAGAAGGAGTGGAAGAAGACTGGAGAGAGTCATAAAGCCTGTTCGACCAATGTGAGCCCGAGCTTGGCTGCGACCATCGGAGCCGGCTATCGTGACTCAATAGTCAAACTCAAGTACCTCTCTATCAGACTATGGGGCTGTGGAAAGGAACAATCTCGGTCGCGAGATATGATCTCCATTTTTCTTTCCTAACTTTGTAATGGTCCCAGTACACGCGGAATTGGCTGCTACGCTTGATAATTTCAAGAAATCCCAGAATACGTAGTACGTGCCGCCATGCAGCAATAATCACTCATCTGATTATCAAATTAAACCCACTGTATTAAATTTTTTACTGTCCATTTTGGCATAATGTTCTGCGCTGGAGGTTTGACCGAATATATAGCCGACCTCCTGAGCCTTCGATCAGAGAGAGCACTGCGCAGAAATCTTACGAACAGCGGATATTTCGAACATATAATATGCCTTTTCTGCGCATTCGTTATCTGATCTTTTGGTGGTTCCTCCTGATCCCTTCTTAGGCTAGCCTGGCTAGCGTACTCCATATATGAAACTCCACTTCTCGTACCTGGAGGCTGGAGCATGTCCTTACATTTCGTCCTGTACTTGTGGCTAGATACTTGATGGTAGATAGTAATTTCATCTTCGGCCCGTTCTCACTCGTCTAGTCGCCATACGCTATGATTGAGAGCAAAGATAGCAGGTTCATTAGAATTGGCATATACGAATTCATTTCATTATAAGTGATGGCGGACAAAGTCGACACAAAGATCAAAAGGCAATAACGTATTGAAACACGGGGAAGTGCCGGAGCCCGGAGTATCATTTACATCTTCACCAGCGACAGATCATATGGCCTAGCCCATCCCGTGCATCAGACGAGCATCTCGCCAGATGCTTACCGAGACACGAAGCTTGATTCATAAGCACAGAAGTTGTTGACGCCCAGAAAAGAAGCAGAAAGGTATTAGTGGCTGAAAACAAAACTACACAACCTCAACGCAAATAGACCTGCTGGAAAATAACATCCATTCCCAAAATCAGACATGACTTTCGCTGCGTTCGTAACTTAATGTCTGGTGGTCGTGACAACTAGAATCCAAAAGTTAGCCAGCGCATTCGGTGGCCCTGAGTGTGCGGAGAGTGAGCGGGGAAGAAGACATACCGGCAGGAACAATGATGACAATGAGCAAGCAGATGATGCAGATGACCAGGCACACGCGCATCTTCATATCCTTCCACCACATTTGCTTCCTCACGCGGTTAGCGCCACGACGGAAGCCCTGGGCAGATACGGCCAGGTTGTCTGTCTTGTCCTGCAAAGAGTCCAGGCGTTCGCCACGCTCCGATACCTTGAAAATATTCGAGCGCATTGTATCGACGGTCTCTTGGATTTTCTATTGGGTAAGGGGAAAAGAGTCAGCCAAATAGTCCAGAATAGGTATTGAAGAACCTAAAGCCTCGACCGCCAAAGAAGTATAGCGCTCGTATGAGATGACAAGCTTTAAACTGGCCATATAGGCTCAATAATTGCAAGGCCGGGCCATGGAGGCTATTCTTTCAATGCTCGGGGACAAAGTCAATTCACTTACTCTGTCGATTTCCCTTGTCCGAGGGTCGCCATTCTGCGCTGCGTTGCCGGCGCTGGCCGAGGGCCCGTTAGAGCCAGAAGGGATATAAGGATCGTAAGGCTGCTCAGACATGATGACTTTCGAGGATGAAATTCGTTATACCCTGAGTTCGAGTGGTGAGAGCTGGTGGATCACCGACTCTGCTTGTAGGCTTGCGAAGACCTGTTCTGGAGCCTTTTTTTTCGTGGATGAGATGCCGTAAACGTCGTAGGACAGAAGTCGCGGTAAACCTAGAGGCGAACGTGTAAACGATAGTGGACGGGAGGGCCTTGTAGCGTAGTGAGAGGTAAATAGTTAGAGCGATGGTGGAGTGAAGCTGACAGGGTGTGATAAATCGCCGCCCGCCTTCTGGAGATTGGAAGCGGGTTTGGTTCGATCCGGTCCTGGCACGTGACATGCTAGCCACTCATCGTTGCCAGACACTCTTAGGCAGCTATTTTTATCGTGAGACCTACAAAGAAGGGAAGAGAACTTCATACAACAGTGCGAGAACAAGTCAACGCTGCTGAAAGTAGTACGATGACTACAGAATGCATAAGTACTGCAAATTTTCTGACACTTTCTAGCATATAATATCTCGTAACATGGTCAATTGGTTGAAACGAAAAAGCCCGTCAAGAGGATAATGGTGACTTCTGCATACACGTGCCTTTAGATATCATAATAGGCTATGGAGTACAGAGCCCGAAGTACCTCCACCATATCAGCAAGAGGCTGTGCAATATTACAACTGAGCAGACGTCTTTTTCTTTTTAAAACCGGCCACAGCCAAGAAATAAGTTTCTCTGATCTCGGGCTGAGAAATGTTATCCTAGGATCTGCAATGCACTCACATCAGGCATCATCAGTTTACAATTAACCCTCCATGTCTTGAGGATATGTTGAAGTGTCGATTCCTAGAAGCTGCGGCGGCGGAGCCGGAGCCAAGGAGACAACCCACATCTCCGCGAATCGCCAAGATCTATCGATTTACTCCATACTGTGCTCGACATGCACAAAGGATTGTCTCCCTGTGCATTACATGGTCCTGTGTATACATATTACCAAAAAATCTTCCGTCTGAAATCATCATCGTGATAAGAAATGGCCAGTGGCCATCACTCAAAGTCCATCAAGTGTTGTCCGCTGGATCTGGTATCAAGGGGAACAAAAACAGCCCTCATCCACTGCTGACTTTCTCCAGCGATTCCAACTCAAAAAACAATTACTTGCAAAAGATGCGCGGTGAATCTCAACTGTTAACTGGGACTCTGATTTACCACCATTATTATAGAGGACGGTGTTTGAGGTGTACTGCGTACGTCAGATTCCGGGTCGCCTACGTCGTTAACTACCTCCTCGGCTATAGGAGCCACTTGATACTCGGTTATCACTAGACGGCTATCGATCTTTCCCTGCATACTTTTGTGGCGATTACCATAGTACTTTCAGTCTGCCGTTACACCCGCTGAATCGGATACGCCCAAGCTCAATTCACGCACTGGTACTCTCATCGCTTAACTTGCAATGGTACAGACCACTCATTCGTTTGTGCAAAGCTCGATTGGAGGGTATAATCAAAGGCGACGTATTCTTCCCCTCGACTATATCATGAGCGAAGTTGCATGCCAAACCGCCGGCAATGCAACGTAGACCGGAGATCGTTCACGGCCTATACCTCACCCTGGATATTCATGTTTACGTTGGTTTGGTACCGACGGTATGTCATTGTGAACATACGGCTAAATGGAGTGGGCTTTGCAATATGAGACGCTCCAACAATCCCTCAAATCTCCAAGGCGTGCAATGCATGTTCTTGTGATGCAGAGAGAAAGGGCCGGGACCAATCTAGCTGAATGGCTCCTGAACATGTTCACATCATAATATACATAAGCTTTTGGTAGCACCGGGGACATCAGTAATGCATATAAATACAAGAAAAGTGAAGACAATAGGGGCAATGCTCTACTAAGCAGATCTTGCTCCAAAGGCCGTTCATGGCAATCTGGTTTCAATGCAGCTCATTTCTCCCCCAGCAACTCCTTCCGCATCTCTTCGCGTTGTAACCTGGCTTCCTCCTTCGCCTGATTCCCTTGACTCTCGAGCTCCGCGCGCTTCTGTTCTTGCTGTTCCTGCGCAGCGAACCAAACTATAATGCAGAAGTATTAGGCAATGACTTCCTAAATGCCAACCGGTGTAGTTAAGGACGCACTAGACTTATCCGACTTTGACCATTGCTTCAACCGTGTAACATATTCATCAAACTCTCGAGCGCGGCGATCGCCTTCTTCCAAGCTCCGCTTCTGAAGATCGGGGTTGTATCGCTTGAATAATTCCTCGTCGGTAGTTCGGATGTATTGGACGAATGCTGGGCCGCCGACGCAGATCACGGTTCCACTGTCGACAGAAAGAGACACAATTGTCAGACGCTCACAGTGGGAAACAGCTTAACCATCCTGAAAGAGAGTACTTACGCCACCAGCATCTTTAACCAAGTCCCTGCCCGAGACATAGTGGGCTATTTTCAGCAACTATGACGACACTCTGCTAGGTGATATGAATGCACGCGAAAAAGGCAGGTCGGGACGAAAGACGCCGATGTCGAGAGATGTGCTTTGGTCAACAGTATGTCCGCTACCTCTCGGATATGACGGAGCCCACTTCGAGCGTTTGCAGCCGGCTTAGACGGGAGCGATGTGCGCAGCGGTTATGACCTTGCTTCTATCGGATAGCATCAGTAGCTCGGTGCAGGTGGGAACATTATCGGCAATCACGGCCAATCTGTGGCTTAGCTGCTGAGGCTGTGTTTACTGAGCACATGTGGCGCAGCTGACGGTCTCTCTCCCAATCATCACCGGTCGTATTCGTTTTCCATCATCCAAGGGCAGGGTTGTTCAATTTTTGAATCCCTTTCTCCGCAGTCCACACCTCCCGCACCGCCGATTCGCTAGCAACTAACGGTGTTGAACTGTACCTCATGGACTAGGGTGTCCTCCGTAGTGGGTACACACTTTCCCCTCTTACATTCGGAGTATTCATCCATCATTAGTTAATATTACCAGAACTGCAACAAGAACACAACCCCATCCTCATGCTCCATAACCATTTGCGAATCAGCTTCAAATGATCACGTTTGAACCTGTTGCAGAAATCCCTTTGCATTGGTGCAGATGATCAATTCTGCTAAATTACAGTACCCTAGACTATGCAAGGGAAGTATCAATAAGCGGATCTCGATATTGTTACAATCACTAGGCACGATCTCATAATGTCCTCTGCAGAAGTATCTTGCCTGATGCAACTAGACAGCTCAGGAATCAACCCCTGAAGATCAACACAAGGATGACCAACTACCAGTGATATTGATATTTCATCAGTGCCATCGTACCATGTCCATAAGACTTGTCTCACTAGTCTTCGGCCTTCATCCTATGACAACACCGTCACATGTATTGGTAGTAGATATGGATTTTGACCTTGGCAATGAGAGGATACTAAGTTAGTAGCTAAATAATGCCAATACATGTTAGATTCAAGTAGTTCATGGGCATCGAAAAGTGGCCTTTGGTCCACAGAAAAATAGAATAAAGCAAAAGTGGGTCAAGGGATAAGGATGGATTAGAATTGTCATCATTGTTTCACCCACAGTTTAATACAGCCGACGAAAGACTAATGACTCCAGGATATGGACTTGGGGGTATCTCTCCCGAATGCATTTCGATATGCCATGCAGGTGCAGCCAAGGTGTTTAGGAAAGTAATCCAAGGGTTCTCCTTAATCAAATCTTGCATATAATCTGCAGTTACTCTTTTTAAGGGAGCCTGACGACAGTAATAATAATACTGGATAGCCCACTCGCGTCGTAGAGGCTACCGGTAGATTTTTTATTACCTATCTCTTAGGTAGAACAATGGTTCCTTGGGTTCTCTGTTGGTCTAATAATCTTCAAATTACGCGATGAATCAAAGAGATCCAAGACCAAGTATCTACATTAAGTATCTGCCTGATCATTATTATTCATTAGCTTTTCATCCTTAATTGCTCCGAACTCCACCACTGCGAACTAGTGAGCAGCGATTGCCAAAATAAATTGCTCCCCTCCCTTCTGTCATTTTCTGAAAACCGCGGGTGTTTGTCCTTGGTCACACGCTCTTTTCACAGAAGGTGGTGGTTTTCAGCCTGGACGCTCGTTTTCGTCTACAATTCAATTCGACTTTGACTATTCCTTCATTCCGACCCGGAGAAACAGCATTGCTGCGCGTGGATAGTCGACCGGTCAGTCCTCGCATCATCAGTCCGATCGCGACTCAGGATCTCGGTAGTAGTCCTGTTGCGACAGATCGCCAAAAAGTGTCTATCCGCTGACAATAATGTATCTTTTCCTAATGCAGGCTTTGCGCACCCTCCACTACTCGCATGATCGGGTGGATTACATTCATTTCATCCCCCTTGCTGAAACCTTGTGCGCTTGTCACTCGGTATCTCCGCATCTTTACTTCCCGCCTTTCAAGGCCGCTTTCGATCATTCTCAGGTCTGGACCACACCCCTCCTCTTAATCTCCGTTTGGCTCTTTCTTTGCGCTGAGCTGACGGGTTTTATGGACGGTATAAAGCCTTCACTAGAAAGCATTATTGCGGGGTCGCCGTGAATCTGTCGTCGTTTACTTCCTGGAGAACAAGACATCATCAAGGCTGGCGCCCACCCACCAATTCGCGACGACCACCGACCATCTGTTAACCGATAAGAGCTGTTACTGAGCATGGCATACCCCCCACCTCAATCGCAGAGGCCTCCTCCGGTCAGAAACTACGGCCCTCGTCCTACACCACGAGGCCCCCCGGCGCCAAGTCAGATTCAAGATGGGTCTTATGACCATGGATACAGCGACTACAACTTTGGGTCTCGTAGCGACCGAGGTTACGACAATGCCGGGTACGGTTACCCTGACGATCGAGCTGTTCCGAGATCTCATGGGGCCCCGCGAGGCCCTCCGCGACCCCCTCGCGGGGCTTATGGTCCTCCTGCAGAGCAGCCCCATGATCGAAGCTATGCCTATAATGGACGACCACCACCCGGCCCCGACAGTCGTCGCGGCTACGGAGACAGGAGGCCACCTCCAAGGCAGGACCGGACGAGACCGTGTAAGTGAAAGCGATACATGCACAGCCGACTTACCTGAGCAAGTGTTGATCGAAAGGCCTAGCTGGACGTCCGCCCGCACCGGAGCAGGAGAGAATGGCATGGGATAACCCGTTCCCCACGTTTCCAGCCCAAGAGGCGCGCGGCGCCCCCGGCACCAGAGGTATTGAGAACGGTATGGCGGCAATGAAGCTCAATGGCCAGGTGCCACCTGCGAACGCCCCCGATCGCCCACACACTTCGCACGGAAGACGCGATATCCCTCGGCAGGCCGGTTCTACATCGCCTGGTCGGGGGAGGGGGGGCTATCCTGGTGGTCCTATGAGGTCGGCCAGTGCGGGACGCTCCGGACGGCGACCTTCGGATGCCTATGAGCGGTCCTACACTTCCGCCAGTGAGCCGCCACCCATGCCTTACATTAATAGAAGTGCCACGATGCCCGTTCATTCGGCGTCGCCCACGTCCTCAGTTGCCCAGCCCACATATCCTGGGCAGCCCACCTATCAGGACCCTAACTCATCGAATGATTACAGTGATACCGATGAACTGCTGAGCTATTACAGGACAGCTCATGCCGATGAGCCCGACATGCCTAACTTTGATGCCATCCCTGACGGTGGCAAGGTCATCGATGAGAGTCTGCCGGGGCTAGAACAGCCGAAGCCGCAAGCGACAGCACCTGCTGACGCTTCCTCCCAAGGCCAGTATGCAGCGTTCAACCCGAACTCCGGTAGTGCCAATGAGTACCCCCGGTCGCAACACAATATTGCTGGTGTCAGTACACCGAACCAGTTTGATAGTGCAGGGTTCCAATTCGACCTACCCGGTAACCCATCATCAGCTTCCCATGTTCGAACTCAAGGCAGTATGGATCGGGGCTACAATGGGCAGCCGGATTCTTACGAGGATCCGATGAATAATCAATATATGCAACGACAGGGAAGTCGAGGGCCTGCTGTTCCAGCCTATGGAAATGGACCTCCTCGACCGTACAGAGTGAATCAGCCTGGATTTGCGAACGAGCAACCACAGATGGTCAATGAGATGAATGAGTTCGATTCGCAACAAAATCCGGACGCCCTGCCTCATCACCCTGCGCCTTTCCGTCCAGGTCATGACCAGGGCAGCAAGCCGCCTCCTGTGCGGCAGTACGACAATGGCAACACTCCGACATCTCCAACCTCCACGGTCCCGCAGACCCAGTCTATCGCTCAGCCGGAATCCGCGCCTGCGCCTGTCACTCACGAAGAGCTTGAGCGCTTGCAGCAAGTGGTACGGAGCAAAGCTGCTGACCAGAAAACTCAACTTCTATTGGCACAGAAACTGGTTGAGGCCTCGACGGTCCTTGTCGAAAATAGCAGGATGGATCCAAAAACCAAAGCTAGGGCTAGAGAAAAATACATCATGGATGCGCACAAGATCATCAAGAAGTTGGTATCTAGTGGTTATGCAGATGCTCAGTTCTACCTTGCCGATTGTTACGGCCAGGGTTTATTGGGCCTGCCGGTAGACCCGAAGGAAGCTTTCAACCTATACCATTCCGCAGCAAAGCAAGGGCACGCGCAATCCGCTTATCGGGTTGCCGTTTGCTGCGAGATTGGCCAAGAAGAAGGCGGTGGAACGAAGCGAGATCCGTTCAAGGCAGTGCAATGGTACAAACGCGCTGCTTCCTTGGGAGATACCCCTGCTATGTACAAGATGGGAATGATCCTCGTTAAGGGCCTCCTAGGCCAAGCCAGAAATCCTCGTGAGGGTGTTTCATGGCTCAAACGCGCGGCTGAGCGTGCTGACCAAGAAAACCCACATGCTCTCCATGAGCTTGCGCTCATGTATGCAAACGCAACTGACAATGACGTCGTCATTCGTGACGAAGCGTATGCCTCTCAACTGTTCCATCAGGCTGCAGAGCTGGGTTACAAGTTCTCCCAATTCCGACTTGGTGCTGCATATGAATACGGCCTGATGGGTTGTCCGGTGGATCCTCGACAGAGTATCTTCTGGTACACGCACGCTGCAGCACAAGGGGAGCACCAGAGTGAGCTTGCCCTCAGCGGGTGGTATCTGACGGGTTCTGAAGGCATACTTCAGCAAAGTGACACTGAGGCCTACCTTTGGGCGCGCAAGGCAGCCACCGCGGGTCTTGCCAAGGCGGAATATGCGATGGGTTATTTCACCGAAGTTGGCATTGGGGTTGCCGCCAATCTGGATGATGCCAAAAGATGGTATTGGCGAGCCGCTGGTAAGTTCTTTCCCTCTGCTGTCTGCGGTCTCTGTGTATCAAGCTAACGTGTTACTTCAACCCACCAGCTCAAGGTTTTCCTAAGGCTCGGGAGCGTCTCGAGGAAATCAAGAAAGGCGGGGCTCGCATGCAAAAGACCCGTCTCTCTCGCTCCGCTGTCAATCGGCAACAGAACGAGGGCGATTGCGTCCTGATGTGAACTCGGATTCATACGACATGTATTTCACGAAGTTGGTTTCCTCGTGCTCAAGGCTTTTCTTCTTGTTATTCCTATAGGCGTTGCTCTCCTTCGTCGGCTAGATTGCATGTTTACCTGCATTTGACGCATATACCCCTAATGACATTACCAACTTCGCATGTTGACGCAATGTATAATGTTGGAAGGTGCCACCTTGGAGAAGGATGCTCCGCTCTTGTAAATTTTTTCTGCTGTCTCCGTTTTTCTTAATCGTGATGTACTGAAGGCATGATGGCCATGTTCCATCCTCACGCTGTGCTCTGTCCTCTTAGTGCCGCGTAAAACAACAAGAGTCAAGAACCGCGGCCTTCTGAGAATGTCGCATAAAGTGGATTATTACGCCGCGACCACTATCTGATATCCTGGACTGGCCCGATACATCAGGCCAGATCCATTTCTCCGACAGTGACTGGCTTACCGCATGGAACGCTGACAGATTTTAATGATGTCCTCCAACATCTGCAGCATCCAGATATCCATCTGACAGTGTATAAGTGTTATAGACATGGACAGACCATGGCAGGGCCGACATTGTCATGGTCCGACAGGAAAAGCACAAAGCGGGCTGATTCCGCACTTTTGCAGATAGCGGAACGGATGATGCCACTTGCTTAGTATTGATTACAATTGCTTCGAGATAGAAGTTGAAGTCAGAATCCTTGCATTGGATAAATCCATGTTTAGATATTCTCATAATTTCAGCCCTCTGACTTGCTAAAAGCTCCCCCTGAGCTTTGTGTGCTCTTGTATATTGCCTTGTCTACGCAACCCCCGGTTGACAACTTCCCCGTCCGCTTTATCCGATAGAGACACGGATATATATGCCTTCATCTGCCGATACTCCCCCACCCAGCACAAGCGACCAACACACCAGTAGGAAACTCGCGATTCTCTCACTCTTCTCTCTATTAGCGGCGATACTCGCTGCATTCGGCTACGGGTTCAGCGCCGAAAATACCAATACCACGGCCAAGCTGTTTGGGCTTAGACGACTCTTCGGAACGCAGGCGGCCGCTGCGGCGAAGAGAGATATCTCGACAAGCTCTGCTATTCCGAAATCCGGCAGCACGATGAGAACTCCAGTTTACTTCTTGAGTCATGGGGGTGTGAGTCTCCCTGTTACGTGTAGGTCGGGGAATGGTGCGATTGACTGCTACAGCCGAATATCATGTACGAGCGAGACCACCCGGCGTACCGTAAATTAGGTGAGATCGGGCGCGAGATCACCACCAAAGTCAAGCCGCGGGCTGTTGTGGTATTCTCTGCGCATTGGCAGGCTGGTCACGACACGATCCAGGTGAATACAGCCGAGACGACGGATCTTATATACGAGTAGGTGGAATCATGACATCGTGCCTCGGTTATGCATGCTGAGTGGGCTCTGTTAGTTTCTACGGCTTCCCGAGCCACTATTACAAGGAGAAGTTTCCTAATGCCGGGAGCAAAGAGGTTGCGAACAAAGTGCTTGATGCGCTGAAGGAGGCGGGCATCAAAGCGGAGGGAGTGAAGAGAGGTTTAGATCATGGTGTTTGGGCCAGCTTCAAGTGTGGTAAGTGGCTTAAGATGTCCGTTGCGTGAATTGGTGGGCCGATAGTAATGCATGGAATGCAGCGTTTGACCCAGACTCCAATCCCTTGAACATCCCGATAGTGCAGGTGTCCTTGTTTAACAGCGAGGATCCTGCTCAGCACTACCGACTCGGACAAGCGGTGTCCAAGCTCCGCGATGAGAATATCCTGATCATTGTATCGGGTATGGCAGTCCACAACCTGCGCGACCTGCAGTTCACTTGGGGCAACCCCAAGCCAATGCCGTACACTACGAGCTTTGACGAGGCTCTGAAGGACGCTGTCACGAAGCCGCCTGCAGAAAGAGAGCAGGCCATGATTGAGCTTTTGAAGCGACCCGATGCCCGTCAAGCCCATCCATCCTTTGATCATGTGCTGCCCATTCATATCGGAGCTGGCGCTGCGGAAGATGATCTTGGAAAGAGACTCTGGACGTTGAAGGAGGGAAGTATGAGTTGGGCGCAGTATAGATTTGGTGATGTAAGCAATAATAGCTCGCTGTAGTAAGCATAAGTGAGACTGATATAGAAATTCCCACCGCACTTGCGTCCTGAACGTGGTCGACGTATTTTGGATTCATTTATAGATACAGTATTGGACAGCTGGAAGAAAACGGTGCATGAACATATAAGATGGCGTGACAACTGCACTACGAAGACTCCTTGACCAGCTGAGAGACTTTCTCTTCAATTTGCTGATCCGAAAGGCCTGCATCCATCCGCAGATATCAGTCAAAGCACTTGGACACTAAAACATTACCGAGACGTACCGGACAGCGATTCCTGCTTCTCCTTTCCAAACCCTGTTCATAATGCCTTTATTAGCCCAAACTGCTCTTCCATCGGCTTCTTCTTATGGATTCTGCCGTACCGTATCGAGCATATAATCTGGGCAAAGTGCCTGCTGCCTCCCGGATCAGAATGGGAGTGTGGGGGTTGTGCTTCTTCATAGTCGGGTACGCGCGCTGCAGGAAGGACCTGCGATCGGAAGTCATAGAGTCAGTAGTCGCCTTCAGCATCAGCACCGCGATTGCCAGGAACTTACCGTGTAGCAGCGCTCTGCTCCGAAGTCTGGCAGAAAAGGAAGCGGAGCTCCTTCAGTCCTTTCGAGAAGGCGTATTTGGACGACATTATGCAAAAGAGCGGGCGATTTAAATGGGAAAAAGCGCAAACGGCCGAAACAAACTATCCCCTCGTAAACGATAGCAATGGGTATCAATTGGGGATATTGAACGCGAGAGAGCCGACGAGGGGTGTTGCAGAGCACTTTGATGATTCCGTCGGAGTTCGATCGTAGACCAATACGGTCAAGCGTAATGTCGCCGCTTACCTCAGCCGGGAAACGAGCCGCATTCCCAACGAGGCCGCCGAGGTCGGGCAATGGCCATACTGAGATATCTGATACATATTGTCGACCGGAACACCTCGCGTGCTTCGTTTCTTATTCTTCCTTAGACTATTTCCACTCATACTTCGGTGGGGTTCTTGATAGTGCTTTGCGCCTCAATTTGTGCAAAGACTACATCACTCTCCACTCAATTCCAACTACCGGTCCTTCCCTTGATCACGACCCTTCAAACCTAGTCATCGTCCCGCCGTGATAACGCATTAAAATGTCTTCTTCGCGTATCGGTCTGCGCTTCTTCCAGAACACCCGGGCTGCTTTCCGCAATGCCTACGGTCCCTTCCGTCGGCCTGGTGCCCAGGGACGCCGTTTCCAGAGCTCTGATACCGGTGCGGCATCCGCCCAACAACAGAGCACTTTCCAGCGTCTGTGGAACAGCCCTGTCGGCTTCAAGACCGTTCACTTCTGGTATGTTTGGACATATGGGGGAGCAATTAATTGGTGATGTTCGCTTTTATGGATCCACATGCTGACATGAGATGATTTAATCGGGTAGGGCGCCTGTTATGAAGGTATAGATCCGTGAACACTATCTCTTTCCACCGCCGTCATCACCCTTGCTACGCATTGAGATATTTAGTAGCTTAGAGATGCCGAACACTGGGTTGAAAACATATCGCTAACCCATTTTCGTCGAAAACAGTGGGCTTTGGTCATTGCGGGTATCTCCGATTTTGGTCGTCCCGCTGAGAAGCTCTCCCTTACTCAGAATGCTGCCCTGATGGCCACTGGTGCTATTTGGACTCGCTGGTGCTTTATCATCAAGCCCCGCAACATTCTGTATGTTTTGTTCATTGTCACAAATATTCCTGGACTCGAGCGTACTAACTGTCAATCAGGCTTGCTGCTGTTAACTTCTTCCTCGGATGCGTTGGTGTCGTCCAGGTTACCCGGATCTTCATGTACCGCCGCAGCTTGGAAGGAGGATCGACAAAGGAGGCCTTGAAGGATATAGAGCACGAGGTGGTTGACTCGGCGAAGTCCGCCGTTGGTAAGGCCGAGGCGGCTGTCAAGAAGTCTACATAATGACTTCAGGTTAAATTTGGGAAATGCTCGCGTGCAATCGCAGATCGCAAGGACGCACGACGAGAGATATCCCTTTTTACTACAAGCAAAAGCGGCGTACACTACTGTATATACTCACCCATGAATATGAGATAAATTGGCTAATGAAAGATCCGACTTATCTTGCGCATTAAACGATCAGTTGTGTAGGTAGGTCTGATGGCATTTTAAGAGTCTTGGGCCATTGGATGTTATGCTCGTACATTTCCCAAGAATGACAGTCATCATTGTATCCAGCTGTGAGTCTTTTATTACTTCGAAGTTAGGCTCAGGCCCTTATCAGCGGAACATTTGGACTGAAAGCTTGATGTCAGTTGACATTGTTCTTCTGCTATTCACAGTCAGTCTAGATCAGCCTTGCATGTATGATTTTGACCTCTTTCTAGGATTTAGCTTCGTTTCATAAAGCAGACTATAAGATACATAAGATACAGACGGGTGGCGTTGTTGCAATTTCTTATTCATCTCTATTTAAATCCTTGCTAAGCCCAGTTCTACCAAGAAGTAGCACGAGTGGCCAAGTGGCTAAGGCGTCGCACTTGTATCTACCCGCAAGGGTTGAGATCGCTATGCGAAGATCGGGGGTTCAATTCCCCTCTTGTGCATTTCTTTTTTCAACCCCACATTTTCCTATTCGCCGGAGCCATCAGTCCTACTTTTTCTTACTTTTGTGAATTTTCGTCTTCGTCATTTGAGATCTCAACAGCATGATGAGCTATATATTATTCTAGAGTTATGTCGAATCACCTTGTTTTTCCTTCTTTTTTCTGGTGATGATGTTTGTAGTTGAGACGAATCATGCCATGTATATATTTGTTTGAACTTCCAAGCACTTCTCTGACCTTAGTCACTATCATTGGACCAAGCAGACACAGTTAACTCAAATGTCTCTCTCCGACGTTGCCATCTCTTATTTGGCGTACGTTTAAGCCTAGAAACACCCATTGGAGATCTAGCCACAGGCCGTGCATCTTCGAATCCTGGCAAAACTACTAGTACCTGGACAGCCTCGCTCGAGAGATAGCAGCAATTGATTCAAACAAAGCGTCACACCTCATATGGATTTGACCATCCTGCTGAAAAGAAACAGCTTCGAGAAACGACATCACAATATAAGGGCCCGCCCAGCAGATACCGGAGCCGAACACTTCGGGAATTGGTACTGAGGAGGTGCAGCGTATGTACTTCATCATTGCGACTTCATTTTGGCTCTCTCCCTGCGGAGGACAGCCCTTCCAAGGGCAGCGAAACGAACAATGACGTCTGATCCGTCATTATATCCGACCCGGTAGCATATATTGAATGCACCACTCTTCCATGGGCATGCGGATACTGTGTCGCCAGCAGATTCTTCTCAGCAAGCTGCATAGACGAAATTTATGGGCCCCAGCTCGTCAGAAGGTTCAACCAAGCAGTGGTCTTCTGTTCAGTGCCATTATCACAACTCCTCGAAAATCCTTCTATAGAAGGAAGGCCGGTGCTAAACCCGCAAATAAGCGATCGGAGCTTGAAGTGGGCTTATCGTGAAATGGCCGCCCTTGCCCTCGAGTTGTCCAAGCATGGAATTGATGCTATTGGGGCACTTGCGAGAATGAGAGGGGTTTTTCAATTGCCAGGCGACCTCTCACCTTCAACATGAATGGATTATGGTGTCTGCAAATTTGCCTGAAGAAGCTTTCCCCTCGCATACGCTCAGGACAGCCACGGGCTATTTTAAAGCACTTGCTATACAGCATCTCTCCCAGCTTTTGGACCATGAACGGCATGAGATGAACAAGCTTGTGAGATCAAGATGGGCCGGTGCAATGAGAATAAGGAAAGCTTCGGATGATCGCCCAATTGATAAGCTACTGGAGTCATGATTGGTATTTATTTAGCAACTGAGAGATATCAAGTCATGCTCAAACAAGAAGCAGACGCTTATTGAAGACTGAGTGGGAGTTTCTTTCTGTTCAGCTGTTCGGCCAACTGGTTAATTTGGTCAATCCAAGCGCAGATGTATAGTGGCAGGCTCAGCTCCACCAAGAGGCCTAGCATTCCTTGTTCTTTTGACGATGAATCTAGTAGGCTTGGTTTGATAGCCTTATGATAATGATATCACGAGGGCCTTATGTATTTAGAAGGAAATCCTCCTGATGTTATCAGTGGCTTCGAGCGACAATGGTCCTAGCACGAGTGTAAATCGCACGGTTGGGCTCCGGGCTGCTATTTGGTTCCGTTGCCCGTGGTGCCTACCAGTACTGCGAAAGGATTTCATTTGGCTCAATCCTTCGAGCGCCATCACTAGGATTGAATTTTGTCAATATGCTTGCAGTGAGCACGAAGGTCAGATTGTCTGATCGTGTTTCCGACTGGCTTGACAAAACGCACTTGTTCTACTTCTGAGATGGTGGTTTGAGAGAGCATGATGAATGGGAACATGGAACTAATCAGCTCATTTTAAGCGAAGAGGAGTTCGCAGTCAATTGCAATCCATCTCAACTATCAACTATCAACTGCCAACGAATAATATTGCCAGAGTTCAGCGGACATTTAGGAGCTTAAAGCTACGACGGAGTACACATAGTTTTTCCTTCCAATCGGAGGGAATTTCTCTTCACCCCCAAATTATCCCTCCTATCAGAACTTCTAGACGTGTGCTCTAACCAATGTTGAGTGTAGACATCGAAAGCCAAGCGAGCTAAGACGATTAGTGCTCTGGATTTCAACTTTTTTTCTGGGGTCATCGACCTGAAACACCTGCAGAAGCATCGTCTCTGAGCTTCCCCAATCTCCACAATTGCTCCGCCTGGGTGCTCCCCGGGTAAAGGCAATTTCCACCCCCTCCCTCCACAAAATGTCTATACTAGTTAATACTGGGGATATGCAGCTTGGATTAATTTAGATCGAGAATGATTCAACTCATATATAAACATCACCCCTGTGACCCGCAGTCTTCTCTCGGTCAGCGATCTTCTCAAGCAAGTGCCCACCTTTCTTGAGGTTACATACTTGTCAGTCGCCATGAAGTTCTCGTATAGCTTTGTCCAGGGAGTGAGCCTGTTGCTCTCCTTGAGCCCTTCCGCTGAAGGCTTCACTCGCTCGAGAAACGATGCGTGCAAGCCCAATCACCCATTCCACCCTCTACCTCCCAGTCAGCCTCGGACAAAAACATGCCATGTTGTCAGCAACGGCCGTGGTCGGGACGACTCCAAGAACATCATGCAAGCATTGCATAAATGCAACAATGGTGGCAAGGTCGTCTTTGATGCCGACAAGGTGTACACTGTTGGTACTGCCTTGGACATGACATTTCTTAAGCACATTGACCTGGGTAAGAATCCATACTGTTGAGTTTGAAATTGACCATTGCATGCTTACGTGAATGGTCAGAGGTCCTTGGGAAGATTCAGTTTACCAATGACACCGACTACTGGCAAGCACACGCCTTCAAGCACGGCTTCCAGAATGCCACAACCTTCTTCCAGCTCGGTGGCGAGGACGTGAACGTCTATGGTGGCGGTACTTTTGACGGCAACGGCCAGGTCTGGTACGATCTCTATGCAAAGAATGCGCTCATTCTGCGCCCTATCCTGTTCGGAGTCATTGGCCTGAAGGGAGGAACAATCGGGCCTCTGAAGCTCCGCTACTCGCCCCAGTGGTACCACCTTGTGGCCAATTCTTCAGATGTGATCTTCGACGGCATCGATATCTCCGGATACAGCAGCAGCAAGAACGTGGCTAAGAACACTGACGGATGGTGAGACTCGTCTGCTCTGGGAAATCATCTCTATTCTGACCATCGCGACAGGGATACCTACCGCTCGAATAACATTGTCATCCAAAACTCTGTCATCAACAATGGCGATGGTATATCTGCTTACATCCAACCTCAAGGAAATAGACTGACAGAACATGCAGATTGCGTGTCCTTCAAGCCCAACAGTACCAACATGCTCGTCCAGAACCTCCACTGCAACGGCTCTCACGGCATCTCCGTCGGCTCCCTTGGTCAATACAAGGGCGAGGTTGACATTGTGCAGAATGTCCTGGTCTACAACGTCTCCATGTTCAATGCCTCGGTAGGGATCTTACACGCCCACCGAAATCCCTCAATAGCTGACGATTCTTGCTAGGATGGTGCTCGTATCAAGGTGTGGCCCGGTGTCTCGTCCGCCATGTCTGAGGACCTACAGGGTGGCGGTGGCCTGGGGTCGGTGAAGAACATCACCTACAACCAGATGTACATTGAGAACGTCGACTGGGCTATCGAGGTGACCCAGTGCTACGGACAGAAGAACTTGACTCTCTGCAACCAGTACCCTGTAAGTCCGTTCTAGTTCGTACGCGGTTCGTGTTTAACTGACCAAATCTACAGAGCAACCTCACAATCTCAGACATCCACTTCAAGAACTTCCGGGGAACAACATCCGGCAAGTACAACCCCGACGTCGGCACAATCGTTTGCTCCAGCCCGAATGTAAGTGCGACACTATATGTTACAAAAGCAGCGGTTCTAATGCTTCTAGGTTTGCTCCAACATCCACGCTGAGAACATTAATGTGAAGAGTCCCAAGGGAACGGACGAATTCGTTTGCACCAATGTAAGTCCTGCATTTAGACAGTGTACGGGGACAAGCTAACCGCGTTTACTAGGTTGACAAGAGCCTTCTGGACGTCAACTGCAAATAGATGCTCCGCTGTGACGGAATAATGCACTTATCTGATTTAAAGCGAGATAGTGTCTCATAATAGGACTATTGGTTATTGCCATACAATGACGTAAAGAGGCGACCTGCTCATTACGTCTGAAACATCACTCTACCACACAGATATCAAAAGCAAGAAGCTCAGTCAGCTATTAGCAATAAGCAATCGGGAAAACCCCATCCCCACGCATGAAGGTGGAGCACCGGTCGTATATGCGGGGTTCGGCATAATTCCGCTGTAGCCTGTACAATGAACTCGAAGAGAGATTACAGAACTCGTACGGTGTACAGAGTTATTGGCATAAGTATAACCGCCAGGCCGGTAGGAAGAAACAAGCGTGGACCTTGGAAACAACACCTCTACCATGGCCTCGGAAAGAAGCACAAGCATCATCGTAACCGGTCCGTCCGTCCGTTCCATACCCACAATCCTCCTTCCAAGGATACCAGATCTAACACTGAAAGACTGAACAGGAGGCGCCTCAGGCATCGGCCTGGGCATCACCCGCTACTTCGCCTCCCAACCAAACACCCACATCACCGTCTTCGACATAACCGACGGCACCGCGGTCCTTGACCAGCTACGCACCGAGTTCCCCTCCGCAAGCCTGGCCTTCTTGCAATGCGATGTCTCCTCCTGGGAAAGCCAAGCAGCGGCTTTTGAGAAGGTAGTCGCCGAGCAGGGGCACATCGATATCGTCTTCGCCAATGCCGGCATCACGCAGAAGGGAGACCTGCTGGCCAACATCCACGAGGCGAAGCCTTCGAAGCCGGAGCTGACGACGTTGGATGTTAACCTTGTGGGCGTGATATACAGTACCTCTCCCCCTGTCCCCTCCCGCCTTCACTTTCCAGGAAGTGCTAACACTGAGGTGTCAGCGGTCAAGCTAGCCGCGCATTATATGGTGAAAAACCCGCCAAGAAGATTAGAGACAGGCCTCTCCAAGGGGAGTATCACCTGCACGGCCTCGAACGCAGGGATCTACCCGTTCCCGATTGCGCCGCTGTACGCGGCCACGAAGAGCGGTGTGATCGGGCTGGTGCGCTCGCTTGCGCGGTCCCTGGAGCGGGAGCAGATCCAGATTAATGCGCTGGCGCCGGCTGTTATTGGTTAGTCTGCTGATTCTTGAGAGGTTCACAGAGGGGTGCGAGGGCGTGGGGCTGATTTAGAGCAGAGACGAATATTGCGCCGGATTCTGCGCTGTTCAGGTCCATGATTCTTACGCCCATGTCCACTGCTACGAGGGCGGTTGCGCAGCTTGTTAATGACTCTTCGTTGACGGGGAAAGTGCTGGAATTGCATGGGGAGGAGGTGACGTTTGCGGAGCCGCCGGCGTATGTCGACGAAGATACGGGGACGAATATTGAGATGTTCTGGAAGCTGGGATATGCGTAGTAGATTTATGCGCAGAAGGATGATGGAGTCGTGAAGAAGAGGCCGTAGCTATTTTGCTAGACCTTGTAGGTTAATTTCTAATGGGTGGACCTAACGCCCGCTGCCCCTGATTATACATCAATTCATTATCGTAAAACCGTCCCGTTACCAACGCCAAAATACCAAATAACACCGGTATATATGTCGTTATACCCATTTATCCAGTCCGTCAAGGAAGTCAATCGCTCTCATCCTGGAGCAGCACCTTGAGCTTCTCCAGTTTATCCTCGCACTTCACCTCCATCTGCATCACCACATCGACACTCTTCTTCTTCGTGATGAGGAGCTGTGACACAAGCCAGAAGTTGTAGCCGTTCTTGTAGAAGCCCATGGACGCCCACTCGTGGCTGGAGACAGTATTTCGCAGCGCCAACCAATGATCACGCCATCGTGACAGTGCTGTTCGGATAGCGGCTAATGTGGAGTCTTCCGGAATGGCATCTCGAGGGTTCTTTGTGGGCGTTGAAGGCCCATGTGGTATTTTTGTATTAGGCAATTGTGTTTTGCGTACCAAGGGAGCCAGGAGGGTCATGTGTGTATTTATGAAGGCATACAGCACTAGAGACGGGTGAGTTCGTCGTCATTTGAGTAAGGGATATGGTGGACATACAATGTATGAGAATAAACATATCGAGTACGGTCATATCCGCAATATGATCTGGAACATGGACTTGTGAGCCATCCTCGTTGGCTGTATTGTCGAACAAATTCTCAAAGGCTTTGGATATGGGAATGTCCCGTGAGAATCGGAAATTCGGCTCCACAAAGGGATGCTGCGAGTCGAAGATTGCCTCTTGACACGGAAGGTCCCATTCCACTTCTGTGGGGGATATACGGCAGGGGTAGTTTGAATAAAACGAGAAAGCACAGTCGAGGAGTGATATGATGTTCATGGTGCTGCAGGCTCTCTGTAAGTCGTTGAACACAAACAAGGAGTGACCATAGACATACCGGATACGGCATTCCTTCTGGATCCACGAGTACTCGTCCGTCCGATCATGGGGCATATGACGGCATTTCATGAGTCCGATTCGACGAGCGACCTGCTCACTCAAGTCAGTAGCTAGGACAGCCGTAACTCACACTATTAAACGTACCTTGACGACTTCGCTGAATCTGTTCTCCATTACTCTATTGCGTGATACACGACTTCCAGCCCAGTATTGCACAACGACAATAATGAAGCCGGCTTGAAAGTTCTGGAATTGAACCCAATCGTTGGGCTCGTCGTCCAGACATCGATTCCCACAAAACATCGAGCTGATCTCGATCTCGGACGAATAAACCTCGCTGGAGAAAATGAAAAGCTCGGCGAAATCCAGCACTCGCTTTGCAATATATGCTTCCCTCTCGTCATTGGAGTACATGGCGCCCATGAAAGTGACGGCCGTAAGTAGCGGTAATGACACAACTTCAGGATCAAACGACGTGCGATGAAGCATCGCACAGCTCGGTTGCCAGTACTTAAAGTACATTGCCACAAATTTGCGAATACGGCTTGTCGTCAGAAGGAAATTAAGATTTGTCGACAACTCCTGTTGAGCCTTTGCGTCAAGGGGCACGGACCAGGCCCTTGCCAGAATAGATTGTATCATTCCGGTGGCGAAGGGTCGCTCAGGTTCGTAGCTGAGCTGCTGCCCTGCTAGTGTCAGGTTGGGATCCTGTCCGGGCGGGACGACAGCATGGTAAGCAACCTGCCCCACGTATGGGTCGTCCAGTAGCTTGTGAGGATCGCCAAACGGGCCGTTGAAGAAGTCAATGAAAGTGTCTTGGAAAAAGGACAGGGTAGCAGCGTCGGACTCGATGAATGTCGGCGCATAATCTGGCCGGCCATCTTTCAACTCATATCCGAGAATGGAACTCCCAGCTTCTTCGAGACTTTTCTTGTTGTGATATTCGAGGCTGCGTGTTCGATCGCTGCGCGGAGGAAGGAGAAATTGGTGCGTGAAACTATCGGTACCGCCATTGAGAAGGAATTTGATCGATCCACGATCTGACGATTGTTCATAGTCTTCGCGCTTCTCTGTCAAAGCGTCTGTCCAGTTGCAAAGTCAACGACGCCACGTGTGAATGAAGAGACAGGCCATACCTGAATCAGTCCCTCGGTTCAAGACTTGCTTTTTTCGCTCGTTGTTGCATTCGATTCCTCGTTTCTGACAAGAGCTGCAGGGATTTAATCCGTCGCACCGCAGTTTCATCGACGTGCACTAGAGGCGAAGGGACGATTAGCGGCCATTCCACGCAATGAGCAGCAATGTCGAATTACCGATTGGCAAGCATGTCGTCTTCTCCCTCGCTGTCCCGTATCAGGGATCTGCCGACCCGCCCTTTTAGGACAATCCGAGTAGTGGTCACGAAGGTTGTCGCTGCAACATGATTAAGGGCAAATGTTAGTGTCGAGGCGCGGTAAGCAGAACAGCAAAAGAAATGTGCCAAGCAGCGAGGCGCAGCTGGTACATATCTTTTTGTGCGAGAATCACAAAAAAACACAGCGTACCAACGAGCGAAGGAGTCATTGCAGAAGATACAAGAGTAAGGTTTGATTCCGGAATCTAAGAAGTTATTCCAGCGAGTTAGTCAATCAATCTGAGTTCAGGCAGTGAGTTTCACTGCGAGATTCCTACGATCGGAGCGGCAAGGGAGAGAGCTAGACGGGAGGCAAAACCACATACGGCGAAGATGATGTCTTTTCAGATGATCAATGCGCGTGAAGCCTCGCTGACAGATGGTGCAACGAAAATGTTTATCGGAATCAGGCTTCATAATGGAGAAGCAGCGTTGGCGCGCATCGGGGAGAAGCTCAAGGGATGGGGAGGAAGTCTGGGGTAAAGGGAGAGGGGAGGGAAATTAGAGGGGGAAGGAGGCGACGGAGTTACAGGAGATCAACCGCAGAGGACAGAGCTATGATGCGCTCATTCCTTGCACTGGACTAAGATAGGGAAATAGTGGCCGGAATTGTTAATAATGAAGAGGATTTTCTGCAGCAGTAGGGACATTACTACTACTGACAAAGGTGCTTTCTTCCCATTCTCCAATTCCCCTCAAGGAGACTTTGGTCGCTAACCGAACATCCACGTAGATCCTTCATTTTGTTCTCCGACCAAGTAACTAACCGGTGAACTTACCTTACTCCTCCGTATGTGCCATGACAATTTTAACCCGGGGCTAACCGTACGTAATATCATGACAGTACAGAATACAGAACACCAATATAGGCGATCCCCCGCAAACCTGATCCAATCGCAGCCGAAAGAGTACGTGAGGTAATCTCTGAAAGTATGGAACCGAGTCGCTCCTTCGGAGACCGCCAATTGTTTTTCCCCCACCGGGTTCTCCTCACTTTCTGGTACACCGGTTGCCTTTTTGAGCTTGGTCCAAGCACTAGTAGACTGGCGTTATTGCTTGTCTGAGAGGACAATACACCACAATGCTAAGGCACCTATGTATGAAATTCTGGACTGACGAGTACACTGTCCAGACGCAGACTACTACCGACACTTGGTAGGGAAATATGGATTCTCGCATATAGTGTCTCAAGCCAGCATTTCCAATGTTATCAGTCACAACCTGAGAAGTGGACTGCCAGGATGACCATGGTCATCGATCAGATACGGCAATGACATTTCTTGGAAAATCAACTTCGTCATCGTTCAGATAATCCACGTTGATCTTGTTCAACTTTTCGTTCTCCGTCCAGCCGTCTCCAAGCCAGCCGTTCGGATTGTCATTGACATAGTCGTAGGTGTAATCCTCCCAACGAGGGTACGCAAGAGCTTTCATTGAATGAAGCGAGGAACCTGAGACTTGTTAGGGATGCGAAATACGGCACTTGCTCACACCAAGAGTGCTTACCGGGCCATAATGCAGTAACTCTGCCGTCCTCGGTCCCTCCCTTGTACCAGCTACGGCATTTCTCGCTAAACACCGTTCTTGAGAAGTACTGGTCACAGTGGCGAGTAAACATTTCTACCGCTTCCTTTCTCACACTCATCGCTCGGATGTTATCACGCTGCATCTTCTGTGCGCAGAGCGTGAAGTAATCAATCTCCTTCTCAATCAGAAGCAACAAGTTACCCTCGCCTAGTGCCGCGTTTGGTCCCAAGCAGACAAAATAGTTTGGGAATCCATCAACTGCCAAGGAGAGATAAGTCTCTGGTGTCTTCTGCCAGCGGCTGGCTAGAGTGACACCGTTGCGTCCGATGATCGGGAACCTCGGAGTGAATGTGGTGTCGAATCCAGTTGCGCAGACAAGCACATCTGTGGGATGATGTTGTCCGTCTGCTGTGATGATCCCCTCTGCATCGACTTTGACGATCGTACTTGTGATGACGTCCACTTTGTCGTCTGTCAACGCCTCAAGATATCCTGGGCCTGGAGTGAGCCGCCGGCAAACAGGAGGAAATGAGGGGATCAAGTTCTCGCATAGTTCAGGTTTCCTGGAGAGTCGGCGCTTCATATTCTGTAAGAAGACCTCTCTCGCGCCGATCTGTTCAGCTGTGCCAAGTAACGTCACACCATGAACTGATTGCAGCTGGAGTTCGATTTCTGCTATAGAATTGGTACTGATGCTCACGGTATCTTCTACGAGGAGCTCTCACCTTTGCGGAACTTCTGGTAGGCGCTGTGGTCCTTTTGAAATGTTTCAATTTCTTCTGGAGTAAACGAGACTATTCCAACGAGGTCAGTGCCTTTTTTATACTGCATGACTGGATGAGTTGACAAACAGTTCTCCAGTTCAGCTCCACCCCTTGTATCCACATGTTGGCGGGCAAAGGTGGGGGAAAGCCATGTACGCCCCCTAATGTAGTGGTCGATATGGGCTACCTTTGGCAGCATGCCAGGAACGATCTGGATTCCACTTGATCCATTTCCTATCACCGCGGCTCTTTGGCCCTAGCCAGAGGGTCAGCTTGTATTTTCTAGATACTCCAGGGCCAACTCACGGTATAATCATAATCCTCATCCCAACGAGCACTATGCTGGAGCTTGCCTTTGAAGTCGTGCAAGCCTGGGATATCTGGCCACTTCCACGAGTTCAATGCACCAGTTGCAGAGATCATTATATTACATTCGTCCGAGTACACCATGTCTGTCTGAATGTCTTGAACCTGCGTTCCATGTCAGTACTGACTGTCGATGGGCCAGGTACGGAGGACGGACCTTCAATTGCCACTTGCCCTTCAAGTCGTCCCAGACAGCTTCGGTGACTCGCTGCTTCAACTTGACGTACTCCATGCAACCGTACTTTTGAGCCACGCGTTTCCAGTACGCGTGGATCTCTGGAGCGGCAGCGTAGAATGTCGACCATTCTTTGTTCGGCTCAAAAGTAGCTTGATACGTGTGGGCCGGGATATCTGCCAACCTCGTAAGCGTCGTCCATCATTGGCGCGGGACAATCCTCGCAGGAAGATGACAAGTCTCACCACATGCACAACCGGGATATCTATTCTCGAGCCATGTGCCCCCGATATCTTCATTCTTCTCATACACGCAGAGATCCACGTTGGGGATCCGTTGTCTGAAGCGAATGGAGGCAATGATTCCAGAAATGCCGGATCCAATGATAACGACCCTCAGAGGACGGGCTTCGTCGATGGAACGCTCTTCTACGATCCACTTATCCTCAACAGGTCGTGCCTCTTGGCTCTTGGAACTGTTGCCAAAGAAAAAACGTCTCATGTTGCTTATAAGAACAAGAGGGGTTTTATTAGATGGTATGTATAGAGGAACAATCAAGTCAAGATGCTGTATTCCGAGAGCAGGTTACACGATTAGCCTGGTTAGGCGGCCGATATAAAGCTACGATCATGCAGATTATATAACCAACAAACCAGGTTACATGATCGATATGAGAACACTCGAACCAGACCAAAAGATCGGGGAAACCTACCTTTCCGAACCGCTCATCCCCTGCTCACTTTTCCCAACTGATATTCTGAATTCTCCTCCATGGACCACAGAGCTACGAAACTCCCTTTTCCTCCCCGTTGGGACGCCAACAGCCGCTAACGCGAACCCAGAATCGGGGAGGATTAGTTATTCGTTTCTGGCCCATGACGCTCCTACGTCTGTTACCGCTTCCGTTTTTCAATTGGGCTCAACGGACAAGTTTAGCATGATTTCATCGCTGCCATCTACTTTCGGTTGCGGAGGCGGCTACATGGTCCAGTCTCGGGATTCCCCCTTCCCCCATCTCCCAAGCCCCTGGTGGTTAACCCGGGACTATTTGCGGGGTAAGATAAGAAGCATTCGTGATGCTGGCGTTTGGGCCATACCTAGAAAGCAAGATTCCAGACATAACCGAAGGAATCTGCACACCGCGTTCGTTTCCGTGAGCTGAACTGACAGGAACTGGCTGTTCAGTGGCCGACACTCACTCTATGTCCGGCTAATGTTAGTAAGTTGGACAAATGGAACCCTTCCATAGCCGGAAGAGCTATGTTCTGGACCTCATCGTGATTTCCAATTGCTGCGTATGACCAGCAATTTCGACCAATCGACGTGTTGGTAATGCTGTCTCCGGCGCGTTGCCCTGAACCATGAATATGCCGCACCTCAACCGGAAAACCCCGCGTAGATACACCCCTGTGTACAACTGACATATCAGACGACCGCGGAATCTAAGCGCCCAAAGACTGGACAAGCCACCTTCCAACGCACGGACACTTTTCCATGGCGGAGACACCGGAGAAACCCCGAGATTAGGTATGAGGAGGGGAGGATGCATCCATTCGACGAAGAAATCATTTCCCCAAGTAGAATGGTCTCTTCGCCTTCCCTGGCCCACCATGATGCTCTACATCTAGATAAATGGATATCCGTTATTCCGTCTATACGTATCATTTATGGCTTCAATACAATCGGGATTCCCCCTTGCGCAAACTTTCTCCCCCACAAATGGGACATTGTAGAATGCGGGGTCGCGGCTCAAGAATAGCGGCCAACTGTTGTTGAAGGGGTTGACCATCCGAGGCTACTGATTATTGAGTGTTGCTGATTGCGGGATGGGACTTGAGCATGAAGTCAGCAGAATGGGAGTACGTCTGTTTGTTTATAATGTCCGCACGTGATGTGTGACGTGCCTCCTAAAGTCGATCAGGCTGCAGCAAACTGATGAGCAGGACTCGATGCCTAAATCTCCGTCATCTTCAGTAACCGACAACCGCGATCAAAGCTAACGTAGCCTTCACAAGAGCCTGTTCACTTTAGTCATCTCAACAGCAAGCATGCATTCAACCTCGATTTCAGAGGGAACCAGCGCGGGCCAATCCCCATTGCAAATCCACATCGAGGAACTCTCCTCCTTGCCCCTCCACGACTCCATCCAAACCTTGGCACACCTCCCCGAACTGACCACCTCCATCACGGCAACAGGCGAACGCCTCGTAACACACCCTACCTACGAAGGAATAGGCAAGCTTGACGACCTGGGTATACTCTATCTCCGTGCCGCGGATCGATGTACCCGCGAGCACGCATCGTTCAAAACCCGTCTCCTGCATGTATCCCTCGATTCCATGATCGAAGCACTCTACGCATCAAGTCAAAAGCAGCTGAAAAAGGGGATGGCAGATGGATCTGTGCATCTCCCTCCTCGACTAGATGAAGGATGTGCATGTTGCAACGGCGAACCCTTTGCCGTGATCCTGGCCGGTTTTCATGAGGGGAATGCGTTGCTTTTCTGGGAAGATGAATACAAGACCTTCTGGGGGGAAGAGGAGAGCAGGGGGAAACAGTATGGTCTGGGCGAGAGGTGGATCATGGCTTCGAGGGAGCAGGTTGAGCGTGCGATGGCGCGGGAGGAGGCGAGTGTCATTCCTAGTATGCTTTAGATGGTTCTGGCGTGTTAGTGGGATGAAAGTCTCCTGTGGGATTGATCCTTGGTGAAAACGCTTTTTGAAAGTTGTCATTCTCCGTAATGTTTGGTGTGTCTAACATTCTGGGAGGCATACTGCTAGTAAGTTTAGCACCGGAAAAATACCCCACACTGAGGATCCACTGTCTGACAACAGTGGATCACAACAGTCTGGATCAGAAACACATAAGCCGATCGGGGGGGATCAGGGCGATTGGTGAGCTTCGTGTAATCATCTTGTCAGCGGCAACTCCCCCAATGTTGCATGGCTATTTGTTCACGCTAACCTTGTACACCCCCGCCTATAAGCATCCGCCGTATTTCCGAGCATACATATCAAAAACAATGATGGCATCTAATGCAGCATTATCATGAAGGATCAACTGCGAGATTGATTTCCCGGCGAGTGCACGGCGGTTTTTCCAGTGCAAGTATTTGATTTGTCTGATTGTTTGCGCTTATAGTCCGGGTCGCAATCACCGTACAATTCCTGTCTACAAGTATCTTCCAGATCTTTGCGGTCACCATTTTACCCTTGAATGCACTGTTCAATTGAAACTCATATTCTCCATGCCTGTATTCACAGAATACGCTGCCTCGTCGCGTGAACTGCGCGTTCTGCCTTCCTTTGCCCCTCCACTTCCCCGCCTTTCCCCGCGATTTACACGTCCTGAAGGAGCCGAGAAATATGAAGTCGTCATTGTCGGCGCTGGTCCAGCAGGGCTGATGCTACACCTGCTTCTGGCACGATACGGCCTCAGCGATGACTCTCTGCTCTGTATAGACGCAAAACCAAGCACGCTCAAATCGGGCCAGGCTGACGGCCTGCAACCCCGCACGCTTGAAGTCTTTAAATCTCTCGGGCTCGCGGATGAGATCCTCACCGATGGCTGTCACATGGAAGAGGTTGCGTTCTGGAATCCGTCTTCTGACAAGGAGAAGGTGATTGAGAGGACGTCAATCGTTCCTGACGTGTCTGTGCCTGCTCGCTTTCAACATGAAGTCACGATCCACCAGGGCCGCATTGAGCGGATCCTCGAGACAGATCTGCTTCGATATTCGAAAAGAGGCGTGCAGCGGAACACTAAGCTTGTGGACGTCAAGATCGATAAGGCAGGCGATGCGGAATTCCCAGTCGTGGCCCAGATCGAGACGGACGGCATCTGCCGCACAATACGCTCGAAACACTTGGTAGGCGCGGATGGTGCCCACTCGGTAGTCCGGCGCTGCATGGGACTCAAGCTGGTCGGCGAGTCGATGGATCATGTCTGGGGCGTGGTTGATCTGGTGGTTGACACTGATTTCCCCGATATTCGACGACGCTGTGCCATCCATTCTCCGGCAGGGTCTGTCATGGTCATTCCGCGGGAGCGCATCGCGACGGGCGATTACTTGACTCGTCTCTATGTTCAAGTACCTGAAGAGACACCCCCTGAAGAGGATCAGAAGCCTGTTAACGGGACTAGTTCCCAGTCCAAGGGAGATGCACGCGCGCGCAGAAGCCAGGTGACCCAAGAATCGATTTTTTGGCATGCGGCGCAAGCCTTCAAGCCGTACTATATTCGACCTAAGGAAGAGGGCGCAGTTGACTGGTGGGCTGCGTACCAGATCGGTCAGCGAGTCACGGACAATTTCACCGTCAAAGACTCGAAGGGAATCAATAGGGTGTTTATTGTGGGAGACGGTATGTTGTCCGTGAGCACTTCGATAAACGTTGCTGATAGCCCTATCTTGCTCAAGCTTGTCATACACATAGTCCAAAGGTACGTGGCTATACAAATCCCTTCAAGATAATCTGCTGATGATGACGGTCAAGGCTGGCCAAGGGATGAATGTGTCAATGATGGATTCGTACAATCTGGCTTGGAAACTGGTGTATTCCCTCCATGGGCTCACACCTGATTCGGCAGTTCCCGGACAAGCCGATGCTATCGTGGATACATATCACTCTGAGCGCCATACAATCGCCCAAGAACTCATCGAGTTTGACCGTGCCTTCTCATCCATGTTCTCCGGCAAGATTGGTGCGTCAGCGGATGGAGTCGAAGGGCTCACGCACGAACAGTTCCTCGAAGTTTTTAGCACGGGCAATGGATTCACCAGCGGTTGTGGTATTGAGTATCATGGCAGCCTAATGGTGGACAAGGCTTCGGATGACCATGCCAAAAACCCAATTACCGGGACAGATTACCTGTCCGGTGTCCTTCGTCCAGGCAGAAGATTACTTGACGTTCGATGTAAGCGCCATGCAGATGGGAACAGACGGCACTTGCATGACGGTACGATATCCTCGCATCACATGTTTCTTCTGTAGCCCAACGCTGACAATACCCAGACTTTCTGTCGACAGGCCGCTTCCGCATTCTGTGTCTCACGTCTTCCGACCTTCTGGACCCAAAGGGCATTTCCACCCAGGTATTGACCTCTCTTGGATCATCTGTCCTTCCACGATTCCCGCCCAACACTATTGAGCAGGTGGTTATCCATCCTCGCCTGGGTAAGACATTCATGTGGCAGGATGTACCAAGCGAGCTCAAGAAACACTCCGAGATGCGGTTCTACAGTGGTCACGAGCTAGATGATGTGTACAAGATCTACGGCGTGGACGAGACAAGCGGTGCATTGGCTGTCGTTCGACCAGATGGATATGTTGGCATGGTGGCGGCGTTGGAGGATGTAAAGCGTGTACAGGAGTACTTAGAGAGGTGTGTCCGGACTGACTAAGGCTAAGTCATGTATGATAGTATAAATGCATCGCATACCACCAAGTGACGATTCATTTCTCCGATGCAGACTGACGAATGTTCCTGAGATATTCTTAGAAAATGACGGCACGTGACTTACGAAAGCGGAAGATTAGTCACCAGCACGTGGCTGACGTGCCGAAAAGCCGATTATCTCCTCATTTCTTAACGTTTTCGTCATTCTCAACGACACTTGACTGGTGGCAATGGAGGCGATGACGGCTCAGGCCGCTCACGGAAAGCCACTTGTTGGGCCTCAGCCGACGGTGGAGAGCCAAAACTACGACACCCTCTGTGTCAAGCTTTTTTTCTCCAATGACGATGGGCGATCTGTGGCCTCTCTCCACTTGTCGGCATTAAGCAACTTTTATCGCCGCAGTCTTGCAGGTTGGGATCGCCATACAAAACCTGCTCTGTCCCAGCTTGCATTCCTTTGGGGGCTTTTGCGGTGGTCATGTTGATACAATTGTGCCTGGTCTATCTTATTTTTGTCTACTTCTACCGGAACTTTGGAGAACAGAAGCACTCTCTATTTACAAGAGTCGCGTGACCTTTTTACGAAGTGATTGGCCATGACTCAAGATGGAGGAAAGGAGACTGGACATACTAGATCGCGATCAACATCGCTAAATAGTACAAGTGACAGTCAGTATCTGTCACGGACAAGTTCAACAGACTCACAACGCTCGCGGAGTTTGAGACTCCAATCTATAACGAGGACGAGGTCGGAATCTAGACCCAGGAGAGCGAATATCGACAGAGTGTACTCTGGCAGGCACCTGGATGATCAGTCGGTCTACCATAGCGACGACGACGCTCCTAAAGCTCACGCAGTAGACTCACCTGCAGAAGATGGTGACGAGAAGCAGGGAACCCCCGTGCTTGAAGTTAGAGGAGGAATCTTGAACGAACGCGATACCGATTTGGAAGCGGCTGCTCGCGACCAGAGTGCGCTGGAAAAGTCAGGAACGGCCAAGTCTGATCGATCACAGCGGGATCCTAAACTGGTAAGCCCAAGCCGTCATCTGGAGGGATATTCTGTCCGGGGGCATTAATAACGCGGCGACAGGTAACATGGGATGGCCCCGATGACCTTGAGAACCCTAAGAATTGGCCAAACAAGAAGAAATGGGCTGCTATTATCACGGTCTCCCTCTTCACTTTTATCTCCCCAGTATCTTCGTCCATGGTTGCCCCTGCGTTGCCGTCGATTGCAAGTGACTTTCATATCGAGGACCAGGTCTCTTCCCAGCTTACTCTGTCCATTTTCGTGTTGGCCTATGCCGTCGGACCTCTGTTCCTGGGCCCGCTTTCTGAGATTTACGGAAGAGTTATCGTTCTGCAATTGGCCAACTTGTTCTATCTCCTGTTCAACATCGCATGCGGTGTCTCGCGAACTAAGGGGCAGATGATCGCTTTTCGGTTTCTGTCTGGCCTGGGAGGCAGTGCTCCGTTAGCTGTGAGTCCTCTTTGCTAACAAGAATCTTTCAGTAAAGTAACTAACAACCTTTAGGTTGGTGGAGGTGTTCTTTCGGATTGTTTTAAACCAGAAGAGCGTGGAAAAAGTGTTGCTATCTACAGCCTTGCTCCGCTCCTTGGTCCTGCTGTTGGTCCTATAGTCGGTGGCTTCATTTCCCAAGACACCACCTGGCGCTGGGTCTTTTATGCCACCTCCATTGCCGATGGAGTCATCCAATTTGGGGGGCTATTCTTCCTCCGTGAAACATACGCTCCCAAGATTCTGAAACGGAGAGCAGAGCGGATCCGGATGGAGACGGGTGATTTGACGTACCAGACCGAAATCGAGCGACAGAACAAAACCCTTTCTCAAACGATGCAGACTGCGCTCGTGCGACCGTTCCGCCTCTTGTCCACCCAGCCCATCGTTCAAGTTCTGGCCCTGTACATGGCCTTCATTTATGGCACGATGTACCTGGTCCTTTCGACCTTCAGCTCTCTGTGGACTGGTGTTTACAATGAATCTACGGGCATTAGTGGTCTAAACTACATCTCCCTAGGCTTGGGATTCTGGTTGGGCTCTCAGATATGCGCTCCACTGAATGACCGCATTTACCGCCGGCTCAAAGCCCGGAACAACAATGTCGGTAGGCCCGAATTCCGAGTACCTCTCCTGATTGTGGGCGCTTTCCTCACCCCGGTTGGTCTCTTTACCTATGGCTGGACCGCTCAGTTTCGCCGCCACTGGATCGCTCCCAATATTGGTGCCTGTCTCTTCGGTGCTGGGAACATCATCGCATTTCAGTGCATCCAGACATACATGGTGGATACATACACGAAATTTGCTGCCAGCGCCCTAGCCGCGGTGGCTTTCTTACGTTGCATATGCGGATTCGCCTTTCCGCTATTTGCGCCCTACATGTACAACGCCCTGCACTACGGATGGGGCAACAGTTTATTGGCCTTTGTGTCTATTGGTCTGGGTATACCGGCACCTATATTCCTCTGGAAGTATGGAGAGATCTTGCGCAAGCGCAGCCCATACGCGGCAGGCTAGATATGGTGCATTGGTTGGTTGGAAAGTACATAGCCGGTTTGTAATAGTCTACCTCAATGTCAAGATTGCACGTAATGATTCTCTTGAACCTTCGAAGGTCGCGTTCTGCAGCATCTGAGGACATTGTAAGCCAGAGTCTGATCTCTGTTGGCACTCAAGACGTCATCCTCGGGTGGTGCCAGACAGCCATATCTGGAAGACCGCAATGCTGTTCGCACAATCACGCTCCAGTATCTTGGCAACGAACAGAGGGTTACTAGATCAGTCGCATTCAGTCACTCCTGGCTTCTGCGGCGACATCAATCCCGGCTTCTTGTCGGAATTTGTCTAATACCCCGACCTCGGTACTTCGTACTCATGAACACTGAGAGCCAATGCCCGACACGGCATTTATGGCACGAAGAGGTTTCAAAAAGGAGGCTGATTTGATTGGACGCTTGAAAAGGAGGTCAGGTACCAGATCACATGCCACGGAATAACCAAATGTCCGAGGCCAATTGAGTTTGCGACTAAATTTGGTGTGCAGAACGCGAACGAGCTATTCCTGATACAGCAATAAAATTTCGAAATTTTCCATGTGAAGATCAACAGTCCGAGAGGCGTCCAGTCAAATCATGCATTGCAGAAAGAAAGCCACAAGTTCCATGCGTGCAGCATATCAATCGTAGAGTGTAATTGCAGCAGGACTAAATCATACCATGTTGTCGGATCTCAATTCCATACGCACAGCTCTGTATATCATCAAGCTCTTCAAATGCGAAAGGTCTTTTACTCCTATCTCAACGCCTAGCCCCCTTTTCCTATCAGAGCATAGCCGTCTCCTATGTTGAGTTTTCAACGGCTGGGCATCAATGGATCATGGATCTAACACTCCGCTAAAAAACGGACCTCAGGCACATGGACAATGCTGCCGTCCGACTGGCCACCTGCTTCAAAATGATCCACTTGAGCCCATTTGACAGATTCAGGGACCGCTTTTCTGGAAACACTTGGTGGAAAGGAGATTGGCCAATGGATCGGCCTGCGATTTCGGGTGCCAGGTGTTTTTTAGCTATCGTAGGATACGGAATGGCTTGCTGGCCTTTTCTGTAATTTTTTTCTCTTTCCCTTTTTTTCACCTTCATTTTGCCAATTGCTCAGTTTCGGTTGAGGAACAGCTGGGAAAATGGCAGAGGTTCGCAAAAGAGCTCTACAGACTGAGACAGAGGTATGTTTCTCTGCAATATGAAGGAAAAGCAATGCTCACATGCCCCTAGGTTGTCCAAGACAACACTCCCAGTCTCAAGTCGCTCAAAGATGCCATTCCCAAAGAATGCTTCGAGTCATCGCTGGCCATCTCCCTCATCTACCTCGCCCGTGATGTCCTCTACTGCGCTATCCTGACCTACGGCGCCTTCCATATCCACCTCCTACCCTCGTTACCGCTCCGCGCCCTCGCCTGGGCCACATACGGCTTCTTCCAGGGCTGCGTCGGAACAGGGATGTGGATTCTGGCCCACGAATGCGGCCACGGGGCCTTCTCTCGCTACCAGGGCATCAACGACTTCATCGGCTGGGCCACCCACTCCTTCCTGCTCGTCCCTTACTTCTCCTGGAAGATCACCCACGCCCGTCACCACCGGTACACCGGCCACATGGAGAAAGACACTGTTTTCGTGCCGTGGACGGACGAGCAGCTGGCGCAGAGGAAGAACGTGCGCATCGAGCAGCTCAAGCACCTCGCCGAGGAGACCCCCATCGTCTCGTTCGTGCAGCTCATCGGCCACCAGCTCGGCGGGTGGCAGCTGTACCTGTTCACCAACGCCACAGCCGGCGCGCAGAGCTGGCCCGACGGCAAGCCTAAGACCGGCCCGGCGAGCCACTTCAACCCCGTCGGCGCACTGTGGAGCCCCTCGCAGCGTCTCTCCATCGCCATCTCCGATCTGGGTCTGCTGATCATGGCTGCCGTGCTGTACTACGCGAGCACCCAGATCGGGGGGTGGAACGTCGTTCTGCTGTATTTCGTCCCTTATCTGTGGGTTCACCACTGGCTGAGTATGATCCTCCTTTTCCTTTAAATCCAATATGAGTATCCTCTGACGTATCCAGTCGCCATCACGTACCTCCAACACACCCACCCCTCCGTCCCGCACTACACCCCTGAAGCGTGGACTTACACCAAGGGTGCCCTCGCCACCGTCGACCGCACGATGGGCTTTATCGGCCGCCATTTCTTCCACGAGATCATCGACTACCATGTTGTGCACCACCTCTTCAGCCGGATCCCCTTCTACAAGGCCGAGCAGGCGACCTGGGCTATCCAGCCCCTGCTCGGGGCGCAGTACCACGAGGAGAAGGAACAGAGTTTCCTTGGTTCCCTGTATACGACGTTCCGGAAGTGCATCTATGTTTCCACCAAGGGGCATGCGTCGCAGCCGGGTGTGCTGCACTTTGTGAAGGCCGATGAAGGGAATTAATTAATGGTGATAAGCGGTGGAATGGATAGACATAGAGTTATGAGTGAAAACTGATAGAGTAAGTATCATAGAGATACCCTAGTGTTTATTGTTGGATGGCCGTTGTGTATATAGACAAAACCTTAGATGTACCTGAACTAGAGCTGAAGAGTGTTGATCATACTAAGTCTCCTCATCTTTCTGCTTCGCGTGCTATGAACTCAACAGTCTACTATGGGACCTTATACGAGGAGCTTAACTACCCTCTTATTCAGGTACATTAAGACTAGTCGATATATCATCATGAGCCAGCATTGTAATGAAAAGCAACCACAGTGACACATGCATCTCCTACATGTGGAATCTACAACTCCTTGCAGCAATCGGTCTGAGTGTTAGAAGTGGCGGTGATCATTGCAAAGCCTCAAACATAATTCCAGGAATAGCTACAGACCCACTGATACCTCGACATCCGCTGCCGACCTGCTCGTCTTCAGCACCGCCACACTGGAGTGGTACTACAGACCCCTGTGTAACACTACAGCCTACAGTCCACATCCACAGCATGTGCATGAGTATACCCCCATCATTATGGAGTGATCAAGTAATCTATCATCCAGCCCCGCAACCTATGTAGGAGACAGCAGCAGCCAATGACTGCTGCCTGCAGGATAAAACCTCACCGCTAGCTCTGCGCCCCACCCTGTACAGACTCACCTCCCAATAACTGCGGCCACGATCCACCTTTTATGTCATCTTGCAGGCTAGTCTGACTTCAAGCATAGGCCGTGGACCCTGTAGGGCAGCAATGCCTCGCCAGACAGCTGGAGGGGGGAGGTCCTGCGGGTTGTATATATAGTGTTGAGCTCCGCCAGATTCTTATTCCTCAACTTGCTCGTCAATAAGTTTATAAAAAAATTAAACAGAAATGTCATTCCACCGATCCTGTGAAGACATCCACATCCGCCAGGAGGACGGCTGCACCATGCTCCTGGCTAAGGTCCGCGATGGCCACGGCCAGCTGATTCCCCGCAAGATCCGACTTGATGATCATATCGGCAATACAGATGGTATTTCTCTCTTGCCTAGCCACCCAGTGTTGTGTTTGTGTTCGATCCAAGGTTGCTAAATGATATCAGGATGGTTCATCTGGGGAGGTCACAACTTCACCCGGACGGCGAGAAATATCTCCCTGGAACATACCGAGTTTGGACCTAAACTGTGTGCTGAGCTGGAGATGAACAATGGTGGGACGAGAGGGCTTCAGGGGATCATGCTTTCGGAGAAGATTACCAATAATGATGGGCATTTGAAGTTCCTGGTGAGTTTGAGTTCCTCCTGCATGGACTCGGTTTAGGATTCGGTGGATACTAATGTCAGATATAGGGTCCTTGATGGATTGGCATGGGGATGCAAAATGGACATAGTATTAATGAAATGAAGATTGGCAACTGAAAAACTCTCCTGTAGTTCCATTGCAGTGAGCGTTTGCGTAGATGAACAGCTCTCTCTTTTGGCTATCCTGAGATCTCAACTGTAGTGGAACTGCAGTCCCGGTGCAACACTTCACAGTTACATTCACAGCGACAGTATGAGTATGGACTCGAGTAGATTGATTGACGAACGTATCGACACATCCTGAACCAGGCGCCACGAATACAGCCCGCAGGATAACCTCACCACTAGAGTCCTGTGCCACCATCTACATACTCACTTGTCACCTCCCAAGCGTGGCCACAATCCATTTGCGATGTCAACCATGGAACTCCCGACTAAAAACGTGTCCCGAGCCCTGTCCAGAGTCCGGATGACCATTCTAGGGGGGGGGTGGAAATATTGCTTGGCAATGTGTTCAACAGTATGTCATCTTGCAATGTCAGTCCGACGTCACAAATAGAGGCAGCAACGCCTCAACGGACAGTCGTAGCGTTATATAACTTGAGCTCCGCTTGTCAGTGACCAGCCAAGTGCCCCACACACGCATCCGTATCTGATCACACCCGTCGGGAACCGACCGGATCGATGACGAGTTAACATGGCCATGTCAAACATTAAACCCTTTTTCGGTCGCCGTGACGGCACCGAGGATCCCGAAGAGTACCCCGAGGATATCGAGTATGCTGTTGAAATTGAGAAATCACATGTCAACAGCGATAGCAGGGATTGGAACCGCGATCGTCGAATCCTATTCCGCCAGAACTTGAGAGACAAGGTTGAACTATGGTACAGTCAATTGGGTAGAGACATTAAGAATGACTGGGAAAGATTAAAGCAAGAGTTCACCAAACGCTACCGAATCGATGAAGTCGACGCAGCCACCCGGCGTTTCCAGATCGATCAGAAGGTAGCGGCCTTCTCGCAGGGACCCAGTGAGCATATACTGGACTACGTGGAGCGATGCGAAGACTTGGAATCACAAGCAGGCGCCTTGGAATTGTTCGGACTGAACGTGGTCCAAGGCTTAGCTGATCTCACGCAAGAACAACGGATCATGTACGATCTGAACAAAGGCAAGGACTACTCATTCCGAGCAGCGAAAGACCTTATCAATGCCGCGTACCTGTC